CTGAGTCCGCAACTGTTCAGATGCCTTCTTTCCCTCATGCACTCATGGTTATATACTGGGGTCAGTGATGAGTTTCGATTTTATCCCTGGCCCGGTGTGAGTTCGACATGCAGGAAGGCCCGATTACACCTGTATAGCATCCTTCATCCATACGGTCTACTAGGGTTCTGACAAAAGTTCTAGGAGTCGGCCATAAGTCTTCGCCGGAGGCAGACATGAATTTTTTAAATTGGATTCCTCTTCCTTTTCTGGCCTATAGGAACATTTTTTTCATGGCCAGACAAAAATGGAAACTCGAAAAAAATTCGAATGAGTGGTATCCATTGATGTGCCCTGCAACCATGACAAAAGAGTAGTTGCGCACATTCATGCTTTACGACTTATGCTGTGGTTTGAAAGCCACTGAGTGATTCGAAAAAATTACAAAAGGCTTAGGCAGTGATGCCCCATCCTTCCTGACTGTGGCCAAGTGGTTTTCTCAATTTTCATGCAGAAAATTTTCCGTCCATTTCGAGGGTTTTGAAGGAGAAGCTGTGCTACACAAAAAAAAATCTGCAAGATGGGTGCTGCATCTTTTGAGTGAAGAGCAGAAAACTGCCAGAGTGAAATTCACAAAAGTTGAAATTATCCTTGAAATTTTCAAAAATGGTAAGTCTTCAAATTTTTAATGTGGGGAAGTTTTAAAGTTTTGGAATCAATCCTTAGAAGGAACTCAGCAGGCATTCTTTTTTGCATCATGACAACGCTCCTCCCCACACTGCTTGAAAAAATCTTTTTGCAATTTTTTTTTCGCATTTCCATTTTTGTCCAGGGATGAAAAAAAATGTTTCCAGGCCAGAAAAGAATGAGGAATTCAATTAAAAAATTCACGGCCACCTCCAGTGAAGGCTTGTGGTCGACTCCGAGAACTTTTGTTAGAACCCTCGTACATGCACCCTAATTGGCTAATGTCATCTGTATGCACAAATAAATGGAATTCATTTTTCGTCTCCTCACACCTTTCTGTGTATATGAAAGCGGTCGATCGAGCACGGTTTTAATTAATTGGCGAGACGGGATAATTATTTTGAGAGGAGCAAGGGTGGCATTCACCTCCCGCAAATTATCCCCGTCAATTCGTTGACCCCCGCGTTATTCCATTTTTATCTCAATTCCCAGAGGCTGTAGAATTCCGTTACAACGAATCTAAACGAATTTTTCATTATTACGAATTTTTTTATTGGTCCCAGCAGTTTTCAATAGGCTTAATGTTATGAAAATCTCATTACAACAAACTTAATTTAGGCTGAAATCTCATTATAACAAAATGTTGTCCATCATGCTGTGTAAAGGCAATAGGGTTTGTTTGACATGCATGAAAAAAACTAAAAGGTGCAGCCTTCCAACTTCATCAAAAAGGAAACATTTATGCAAAGAAATCTTCCTGTTCAAAAAATACTAAACATGATGTATATCTTAGAAATTCAGTAGCTCCATTCTAGATTATATATGCCTTTCTTCCCAATATCAAATTTGTTTGAAAGAATTTTCCTCTATCTGCAAGAACATGCATGAATGAAAAAGTTTATTCAGTAATGAAGCATTCCTCTTACTTGTCCTGTACTTATGTTCGCTGTATATTTTGAAACAAATGTCACTTTTTTTAGTATAGAATGGCAGGTTCAGTATAGGAAGCAAAGTCCAATTTATTTCAAGTTTCCTTTTCATTTCATCAGGAATATTCATTATTTATGACATTATTATTGACTTATTTCTTTTGGAAGCACTTGCACGTATTTATTGCCCCTTTCCTACAAAATATCAGTCTAAAATGTACTATAAATCATGAATCTCAATCCAACAAATTTTTTGTTGTAAACAATTTTTGACCACGTCCTTGGGAGTTTGTTGTAAAAAGATTTTACTATATATATGTCATTTGTTCTACGCTGAAAATGAAAAAACTCAAAGTCAATCTGCGGTTTTATTGTTACTGAAACCATATGGTGATGTGCATGCGGAGGGTGACGATAAATTCTGGTGCTAACCATTTGTACTGCACATACTGAAAGACAAATTGAGGCGTCGTCAAAGTATGATTATTATGCCATCATCAGCAAAAGCAAGTGTCACAAAGGGGTGCGACGTCCTGACCTGAAGCAATAAAATAACACAAGGAATGAAGTTGATTAAGACGACCCATCATAAGGCAGTTATCATGACTGTTCCAGCACATGCGGGTCGTGATCCCGAAAAACTCCGGCTTCTCGGCGCGGAAATCAATCAAGCACAAGTACTGACTGCGGTGTTGCTGCGCGCGTGTCGCCGCCGGGGGGTTGATCGCGTGCCTAATCCACTTTCAGGTCGGATGACCCCCACAGAGGCAGACAATTGAGTCGCCCTCCGTACAGCAGAAGCAGCGGGTGGGATGCTGGGTGTCTGTGGTGGTGGTGGTGATGGTGTGGAGGAAAGGAAGGAGTTGGCGGCCCCATCATCAGAGGGAGGACGAGATGGGACCCGCGCGCGTGGTTGCAACACCTGCGCGTTGTCGCGTGGGCAATTAGGTCGCCGGATCGATCTTTCGACTCTTATTCATTCTTGGTCCCAGGGAAGATACGCGGGGGTGCTATTGATGTACTGTATATGGGAGTAAGCGGTGTGGTCCGTTCAACAGAGACGAGATCTTTGTGCAGTCCTGACTGCCCAACTAAAAGCCAACCCTGCGAATAAGCGCGAATGCAGTACGTACATTCAGAGGGAAAACTGAGCGCTGCCCAACTGAGCGCGAATGGAAACTGAGGGTAAAGTATATCCGAGGGTTGTCGGACGCGCCAGCTTTGATGTTTTTAGAGTAATGTACGTGAGATTGTAAAAAATACAAACAAAAAAACCATGACATAAATAGCCCGTGATGTTCTGAGGTTTTGGAATTTTTTTCGGATGTAAAAAGAGTTTTTCAATTTACTGCATAATGATAATAGTGTGAAAATGTTCCAGTTATATAGTCGATCATCAGAATCCTCTACCCATGTCAGATACTATAGACACTTTTTCAGGCCAGGTAAATTGTTTTTTTTTCAACCATTATCTAAAATTTTAAAAAGATTATGGGAAGAACAACAAATCATTTCAATTTGTTAATTTGGGCTATCCAACCATCATAGAGCCAATTTGGTACGCTTGGCACGTACGTGATTGCTGGTACCGCCTAGCGGTATATACGTACAGTAATACGAAATTTCGCATGCTAGGAAATGTGACCATTTTATATGCATTGTATATGCACCCCTCATTATTCTTCATCAGTCGGATAATTGTCCATTATTGACATGATCCGACTGAAGATTATTAAGGAGATGCTGTGGCTTATAAATTGAAGATTATAACATATTACAGTATTTATATAGGAGACATCGCAATGATGGAAATAATAAAATTTCTTAACAGAAAAAAAAGTATCCAAAAAAAAAGTATTTGAAAAAGTATCCAGTATATACTAGGACTTTGAATCAGCTAAGGAATGCGTACTTAAATTGCACTCTTATATGAGATCACATATGCCTTATCCTCGCAGATTTTATTTTATTTTTTGCGATAGATTTCCTTGAAAGCGAAGTCGAAGCGATCTACTGTACTTTTCGACTTTATTTTAAGATTTTTCCGTATCACATGGAGGAATGTATTTCTCCTCAAAAACAGACAGCAACTCTGCTAGGAACATAAATTTTGAAGCAAATTCTTACAAAGGCGTAAAAATGCAAATGTTGAACTGGTGCTGTTATGCGCTTGCAAATGAAATTCTTCAGTCATTTTAAAAATAATATAAGGAGCAAAATGAATAATGTTCCAGCTTGAATGGAGCATTATTGATCGAAGAGTCTCGTTGATTTCAATAAAGGAAAAATGCTTGAAGTTTATTGTTGGCGGATGCTGTACATCAGGTGATTATCCAAAACCTCATAAAGGCATAAAATGCCTCGAGGTTCATAGCGAACATGAAAATTTTTCAATATTCCCAACATTGTCTGCCTTCACTATTCCATTGTCAGCAGGAATTCATAAAAAAGTCCATTTTGAACCAATTTTCAAATTCACCGGTGCATGCAAAAAGGTGTTTTCTAAATTTTCTGTTTTTTAACATGCAAAAATCACCAAAAATGTAAAAACATTTTTGAAAATTTTACTAAAATCAACCAAAAATGTCTTTACCTTTTGAATTTTAGCTGTTTCAACTTCAAACATTTTTCAATGGAAAAAAGATTGAATGTGTGAAATGTCAGTGTGCATGACACCCTGCAAATAGTTTTCAAGTTGCATCAAACGCGACAAACTTAGAATGAGCAAAACTGAAAATTTTGAATTCTTGTTTCCATTTTTCTTCCCAATTTTTCATCTTTTAAAATTTGCCAAATAGTTAATTATGCACTAAAATGCAATTTTTAAATTGCATTAGAAGTACCATGAAGTTCTCTACGCTTCCCATCTTTTCAACTAGAAATATATTTGAACTAATATTAGGGGATAAGCATCCAAATTATCATTGCAATAATATTTCCCTTGATTTTATTGCAAATGTTTTTCAGCATTTGTAGGGGGAGGGGTTGTCATCCAAGGAAAGTATAGGATCCTTGGGGGCTTTCCATCAGGAAGTCCTCATGGGTCCAGTGGTGATTTTTGGTATGCCCTTCATCCTCAGGGCTTCAAGGCGCACGTGCAGTGTGGCTGGATTTTGAGGTTGAGTGGGTGAGAGGCGCTTTGATTCATGTAGTGTAGGTGTCGTATGAAGAATCGTTCATTTGAAAGTTTGTAGATGTCAATAGCGTCAAGTATCATGGTGGCGCGCGTAGATTTCAGGGGTAGGTCACCTTCTCCTGTACAAGTGCCCGTGAGGCAGTACCTCCTGCCTGCGCGCGATTCATTGGGTCGGGTTCTTTACGACGATCCGGGTATTTCAGTTTGAACAAATGCTTGTGGTCCACGGGAGAGTTTCGCCTTTTTTTGAGGATCGTGGTTTCCTGAAAATTTCGTGTTCTCACGAATAGCTGACCAACCTCACGTACGGTTATTTCAGTGTGATCCAAACATATGCATCCGTTATTCATTAAACCCAGAGCGATAACGCGCGTTCTCGGAAAAACTGCATGATTGAGATCACCTGTGAAAGTTCGGTGTGCCGAACTCTCACCTGAGTGAAACCTTCAGGTATCCAGATCGTTCAACAAATTCGCCGTTCATTAATCTGTATGATGCAATGATACGAGTGGGCGGGTTTGGTTGAACGGGCGGTAGTTCCCGGCTTTTTGCATTGTCTTGTGTAAAAGGATAAGGTAATTTTGTGTCCGGTGTATTTCATGGTTTGTTTTCTTTCTAGGAATCCGTGAAAATGCCGCGGTTTCCCAGCTATTTTGTACATTATCGAAATCCTCGGTTGAAGTGGAATGTGGGTCTCTTGGCGCGTTTACCGGAATGTTACAAGGAATTTTACGAAGAATGGCAATATGGCGTGAGAACTCCAGTTCATTGGATCCCGAAAGAGCAAGAATACGCTCGTGACAACGAAACGGGTGAAATGTGCGAAAATATTGTCATGCGTCTTTTCTTTCGTCTCATATCATCATTATTTTCCAGTAAGCGATTCGAGAACCATGAGATTCCAGCTATCTACCCACCCGAATCACATTCGGCATTATGGGGCGGTGAGGGTGTGTTGTACGGTTTCGAGAAGCGGAAACATTATCACGCCAAAGTTCCTATGTTTTGGACTCCTTTTCTGAAGCGTAGTGTGATTTATAGTGAAATTTTGGATAAATACCTCTCTACCGTCGTGACAGAGCGAGTTTTGCACAACATCGACGCTCACAAAGGATTGGACTTCTATCTTTTGAAGGTTCGAACATCATACAGTATTAAAAATACAATTCAATTACAGTACTGTACTGCATCTCATTCCTATAATTCAGACGTCTGCAGCGGATCTGCAGTCCTTGCTGGCGTTGAAGTTGAAGCGGTTTTTGTATCAAGAGCTGGCCTCGACATCGGATCAACCGGATGTTCGGACGACCAAAATCCGCCAAAAATACGATCACTTGAAAATTCCAGTATGTCCAGTGTAATTTTGTCTGCTGTACCCCTCTCAATCTTGAACCAACTCCAGGCCGAGCATGCAGAATGGTATGGTCTCAGTTTGAGGGAAGCTTGTGAAAAGCTTCAGTATTCGGAGGAACACGCCCCGAAATTCCCCTTGAAGAACATTTTTCGGCAAGAACTGATCGAGGTGCTGAAAGATAGGAAGAGAAGCGATTTAGAAACTCGGGAGGAATCTACGTCGGGGTAAGCTGTCAATCGGTGATCCAGAATTATATGATAATCAATGTTGTTTTTTCAGGGCATCCGGATGGTTATCAAAAATTCCTGGGTTCAAGAAGGCTGCTGGCTAATTTTTTTTGGCTTGTGTTCAAATTATAGTTCCGTCTCGCTGCTTCATTTAAGTTGATTGTTGCAGTTCGTTTCTTGTGTGTTGATTGTGGTGCTAGTGCGGCTTCATTTGACATACATATGAATCAACTGGAACAAATTTATCGTCTATTTAGATGTGTGTACCGTAGTTGGTTCTAGCTTGACAAACGAGAATGTTCGCGATGGCTTCCGCGACGTCCGCGCGAAGACAATCCATCATCGAGACAAATGCAGCCGTCTTCGGTTCGGCGACTGTGCAGCCAGTCAGTCGATCAACTAGTTTGAAGCTGAGAACCAGGAGTAATTCCGGGGTTCGATTGGATTACTATCAGCGGATTGTATATCGCACTATCCTTGCTCATCAAGATCCCGTAACTGGTCTTCTGCCATCGAATCCCGGGGCTGCCAACCAACATGCCTGGGTTAGGGACAATGTCTACTCCATTTTAGCTGTGTGGGCTTTGGCGTTAGCTTACAGGAAAAATGCCGACCTGGATGAGGATCGGGCGAAGACTTTCGAACTTGAACAGGTCCGGAGTTCGTCTGACTAAAATGAGTTCGACGATTTTCACGTTTAATTCTTGGGAATTGATGAATGACGCATTACTTTAGTCATGTGTAAAGCTGATGAGGGGTTTATTGCGATCAATGATGCTGCAAAAAGACAAGGTGGAGAAGTACAAGCTATCAAAGAAGCCACTGGATTCTCTTCATGCTAAATACTCTCAGAAAACTGGCCTGTCTGTTGTTGGCGATGCAGAGTGGGGCCATCTTCAACTCGATGCTACGTCCCTTTTTTTGCTCACCCTTGCACAAATGACAGCATCTGGTAAGGACTTGAACTCCGAGTAGTTGGAGTTGCCCTCACATACTTCTTGTGTGTTTCAGGACTTCAAATCGTGTTCAATTTGGACGAAGTGGCCTTCATCCAAAACTTGGTTTTTTATATTGAGTCTGCGTATTGTCAGCCTGTGAGAGCCCGTTTTTTTGTTTCATCCAAGTTTTCTGGACTTTTTCGCGAGACATGGGTTATTCTGTACCGGAATTTCCCCGGACAGATGAAAAAAATTTAGAATATGTCTTCGTCGCTTTTGCCATTTCAGGATATTTTGAACAGTTACGTATGTATGCGTTTGCGGGATAATCATTAGGTTTTGATGCCTTTTGAACAGCAGAAGTCTTGAGAACTATCGATCTTGAGGACTTCAGTCGGAACTTTTTCTGTATGAAGTCAGCTTGTCACCTTTAAAAAATTTCGCAGTGTCAAAATTGAACCGAAAATTTTTGGCGTTCTGGTAAATATTGCACGAATTGATGGATTGCAGTGCACTGTTCTGAACTTCACAATAAACGATTTTTTTTCCTCGAAGGGGATGTGTAGTGTAGAATTAATCTTTCATCACCTCATGTAAAGAGCTTGATTGGGGCTCATTTTGGGAGGAGCTTTAAACTGATAATTTTGCCGAGGCTTTTTCACGATCATATCTCTGGCAATGCGCTGTCTCACGATGTAACTCAATTTCTTTGCTGTTCATGTTGCTCTTGACAAGTCGTAGGAGGAAACTCACTCTCCGTTTTTGCAAAATTGTTGAATTTTCGTATGAGGTGCGTTTTTTTTTCTTCATAAGGATTATGGCATTTGGGAGAGGGGTGACAAAACGAACCATGGATTGCCTGAGCTGAATGCGTCTTCTATTGGAATGGCGAAAGCAGCCCTGGAAGCACTTAGTGAGCTCGATTTGTTCGGATCGCGAGGAGGGCCCGCATCTGTAATCCACGTCTTGTCAGATGAAGCTCAGAAGTGTCAAGCCGTGCTACAGGTTTTTTCACGAATTAACGGCGTCCACTATCCGTGTCTGACTGCATTCGTGTTTAAATGTAGTCAATGCTCCCGAGGGAATCGAACTCGAAGGAGGTCGATTCGGGACTGCTATCTGTGATAGGCTTTCCTGCGTTTGCCGTGGACGATCCTGAATTGATCCTCTTCACTGAGCGTACAATCGAGGAGAAACTGGGCGGCCGATATGGATGCAAGCGATTCCTACGTGATGGTCATAAGAACGCGCGGGAGGTACGTGAGTTGATTCATTCATCGTCAGCGATTTTGGGCCGTGGCCAGATCTCTGAGACTGTGCAACCTGAATTATTTTTTGCCTTTCTGGAAGACCTTAGCGTGGAAAAGAGAGATTCCTACTTGAACTAGCAAACTTCGTGAATTAGTGAAAGATTCACTTCAGTTATTTCCCTCTTATCTCGCTTTTGAATTTTCAGTACAGTTTTACCTGTTCAAGTCAAACTTCGAAGGTCCTACGAACAAATTCAAGTGAGGGAAACGTGCATTTTTGTTGAGGATAAGAAAGAATTGGTGATTCAGTCACTCTGGGCCTTGAATTGATTTTTGAACAAGTTAACTGAATGCTGAACTTGGAGGCAAGGGTTCATTTGCCCAACAATCTTTCGCCCCCTTAAAAAACACATGCAGTTATACTTCCATTGCTTTTATCTTCCCTGTGTCAATGAAAGAACCCCAAGGCCTCCAGGAAATTCGAGTTCTGGAGGTTTGAGGGGAAGTCTTTGACTTAGCGGTTTTCAGGGCATTTATTATAAGGGAATTCAGATAGGGACTAGAAAAAAAAGGGACATACTAAGCCAACTTAGCTGAAGTATTCGAATTAGTGAAGTTTGAGTTATTGAAGCCTTCAAGTGTTGAGATGTTGTATTCATTAGTTTTCCTTCGTCTGTCCACAGGATCCAAATCGACTGTACTATGAGCCTTGGGAGCTGAGGATTTTTGATAACATTGAAAATGAGTGGCCTCTCTTCTATTGTTACATGGCAATTAATGCTCTATTTTTCGGTCGTGCCGCTGAGAATCAAAAAGCTTTCGAAAAGTTAGACGAGGTTGGTTCGATTGAAGATGAAATGCCATGTGACTTGGGTTTTATTCCTTTATTTTAATTTCAGCTATTGCTCAAATCTGAGGATGGAGTCAAACTCGTTCCTGAAATGTTCATGGTGCCTCTGGACAAAACGGAGGCTGAAAAGAGTCTCCCTCACAGTCAAAATCGCGTGCCTGTGGGTCGTCTCCCCTACATGTGGGCGCAGTCATTGTACATAGTGGCGTGTTTGCTGAAAGATGTAAGCCTCGAAATAATTTCCGTTGAGCGTCGATTTCCGAAAGATTCTCGTTCACAGGGCTTCGTTGCCATTGGAGAATTAGATCCGCTCAACCGACGTCTTGGATCTGAAAAAAAGCCGGACGTTGTGGTTCAAGTCGTGATATTGGCTGAAGAACAGTCCATTCAAGACAAGCTGAAAGCCATGGACATTCAGGTTCAAACCGTTGCAGACGTACAACCTATTGAAATTCAGCCAGCGCGTGTGCTATCTCACTTGTACACGTATTTAGGTACGACGGCTTGTTCACAAGGCATTCCTGCTTATGGTCATTTCTTATTGTTTCCTTGTAGGGTATAACAAAAAGTTGGGACTCTCAGGGCGTAAATCAAAAGATGTTGGCATTCTCAGCACAAGTAAGCTGTACTCACTACAGGGAAAGAATTTTGCATTTATGCCGCAGGTAAGTTTGTTCATGATTTTTGTTGTGATTTTTTCACCCAAACTCTCTCTCTCTAGTTCATGGATGAACGACGATTTTACATTGCGTCCGATTTTGACCTGCTATTGGACATTCTCAAGAACGAGATCAACTTTCTGCAATCCGCGTGGCAACATCAACTTGGTCGGCCTTTGGTCGTCATGACTTTGAAAAACTCCCAACTTGGTGTGTTTCCTTCTAATGAAGCAGTTCTCCGCAATATTTGTAAATGCTTGTGCTCCATTTGCAGATGATGGAAAGGTTCCTCCTGCTATGATCGCAACCTTGAAGAAATTAAAGAGTGGCTACATTAACGGAACAAGGTACAGTACATTGTGTTATTTGTAGAATCGGATAATTTTTTCATTATTGTGCGTGCAGAGTTTCTCTTGGGAATTTGGAGGATTTTCTAAGCACGTCGGCGTTGACAGACTTAAGTTTTCTGGGAAATCTTGAAGACGGCAGACCAGATGGTATTCTTTTTCTTTATCTTCTGAAAAAGTGATGAATATTCATCCGATAAAATGTATTTTCAAGACTTGATTCTTGGCGTTCAAGACTATCTGGAAGGAACTCTGAGGAGAAGTTTCCGTCCTGGAGTTGATTATGGACGTCCAGATGTCAGTCCTCGTGGTAAAATCAAGGCCGCCGGTGGATGTCAAAAGAGAATTATGAGAAAGATGTCTGTGAGAGGCTCCATGCGACGCACCCGCAGTATCGCTAAAGACGTGGATCAGGGTAAAGATTGAATTGTTCTTGTTTAGTTCCTAAAATCATGCCTTAATTAATTTATTTTGATTGTCAAGTTCCCAGAATTGAGATCATCTCAGATGAGCACGAAATTGAATCAGGTGAATTCCTCGTGACTTGGGCATGTCTGCTCTCCACGTTTAGGTGGAAAACAACACTTCACACTCATTGCAATGCAGTAAAATTCGAAGACACCCAATGTGCTGAACTCAGACTATTTGTGCAGATCATTAAAAGCCCGTTCACAGATAATCGAATACATTATTGTTCTAGTGGAAAATTTCATTCTACTGATGGGAATAAATAAAGAATAATCTCACTTTCAAGTGACTATCCCAGAAATCTTAATCTAGAATGTTCCAGCCAGATACCGTGTATCCGGCAAGTACAGATTGACTCTCGGTACAGAGATTTTGTATGTATGAGAATTGTTTGGTCTCATACGGTTAACGCAATCAGAGGAAGTTGAAGCTGAAAACGCTGACCGTGTTGTTTCCTAGGATTGAGTTAAGAGTTTAGCTACGGTCAAGATTATTGTGAAGCCCAAATAATCAAAATTGTAGTGAGGTATATTTCACTTCAGAAATATTTTCATGCCAAAACAGCAAGTTGGCATCACGTTTCTGCGGTTCTGATCAAAATGTATGCATGAATGAGTTAAAAAAGATGGCGACTTTGCATTTGAAGATCATTGATTTTATCCAGAGACGTACTTTTTATACATTCGATGCAGTATTTAGAATTTACAAATCGATTTTCCTGACGTTCGTGATCTTTCATGTTACGTAAAAATAACGATTACGTACCAGATTCTTACCGTCGTCAGCAATACTGTCCACGACAACATACTTGGACATATTGCGACTTTATTCGTATTTTTAGTAGTATTCGTGCAGTGTAGCTATACATCATCGCATTCCTGAACTTCGGCTCAGTCCATTCACCTGTTGATTTCGTTTTTTTCTTCCCCGCTGGTTTGGGTTTATTGCTTGAATTTTGCTGTTTAATAGGCCTTTTTGGTAGTAGTGGTCCCGCCACGCGGTCGAATTCACTCCCCGACGAAACTCATGGGTTCGCTTGGCCCATTCCAGCTATTAGACTCGATCAAGGAGGGGGTGAAAACGATCGCATGTTGGGATATAGGTCTCAAAATCTGTCGGTAGCTACGGGAGTTGATAACGCTTTTCGCTTCGCCGAGGGATTTAACCAGGCACGGGGATATTTCGGGGGTTTATGGCTTTCTCCAGAGGACCGGGAAAGACTGGAGCGCTTCGCTGCTGAAACTGGGACTTTCTCCAGACAAGAGTCGCAGTCAGGAGAGGAAGATGGACATGAAGACGAACGTGACGAATGGAGCACTGCCCGGCATCGGTAAGTACGAGATTTTAATTATCCATTTTTTCAAGAATCTGACGTTTGATCTGATTCAAACATTAATTGGCAATGACGACGGTAATTCGTGGTAATCGATCTTTGAATATCCATGTTGAATGAAGTTCGTTGGAACATCGCGAGTAATGCTTTACGTGGAAAATGAGTTCATTGACTTACACATCATCGCACCTTGATCATTCTGCCTTTTCATTGTCGAAATTCCATGATTCGAAATGAAATTATTTTTCTCTGTGTGTGCATATTCATGTTCCTGCGTTTCAATGGAGAAATCTTCTCCTTTTTCAATCCGTCCGAAATTCTCGTCACTATAGAGTACGCTTATTTAGGTTATGCTTAAAACTTCGTGTCTGGGATGTTGGGAAAGTGGTGTTAATTTTTCATGGTTGGCTCTTGAGTTCGTATGGCTTAGAAGGGACGGTTGTCAAATTTTCGCAAGAATAAAGTAATGCACCGCGTTAATGGGCGGAAGTCTTCGCAGGCACACAAATGTCAGCCAAAACTTTTTAGCTGCATGAAGTTATGTGAAATTTCGAATAATTATTGTGAAACCCATGATGCCCTGTGCGACACTTGGGTTGACTTTTCTTGTACTTCGCAAGTGTGCGTGTCTTTTTTTTCTGCTAATTCTCTGGTGCTTTTAGAACTGTAGTATGTTCAGCATTCACTGACGGTTTTATTCATTCTAAACCTTTATCAATGCAATATACTGTATCTACTATGCAGTTGAAAATAAAGTGATTTAAGTTGATCATTTTACGGAGCAATTCTTTAAAACTATGTTATGGGGCTGTATACATGTTTCGAGTCTGACGAACCCCTGTTTGAACGGTTCCGTTTCAGCTATATGAAACGCGAGAACACCGTTTATATTCAACCGGACTACATCGCCCGGTATGTCAACGGAATGTTGACGAGTGAACCTTTTTCTAGAACTAGTGCGTGAAACCCTGCTTGGCTCACCAGTGCCATAAACTCTGATCGATGTGATTATTGGAGTCATACCTTGTATCTTTCAACTTTCACTGATGCGATGTGTTATCGAAGTTTTTGGCTAATCATGAGCCCGCCTAGCAGTGTCTGCAATGCGTTTTCAGTAGTCCATTGCGTTTGCTTTGAAGTCCCCCCCCCCCCTTTAGCCCGTAATATTTTCGTTCATAAGATCTATTAATCTTCTGCAAATTTCTGTAGTACGCAATCTGATGCCGTTTACGAAAATACGGAAACCGAGGAACTCTTGAGCATGCTGAAGGATGCTGAAAGTCTTGAAGAGCAAGGCGACATTCTGCATTATCTGGTGGTCACAGTGGGATTGAGTTATGTGACAGGTATGATAGTTCCTTGTAAATTGCTTATGTCATCAAATTCGAAAATTATTTTGTTGGTGAGATACCATATTGACATTAGATGAAGATTACTCTGATTGAAGCTTTTTATCTATCTATCTGTCTGAGTAATAACTAAGTGTGTGTTTTCAGGCAATGACTCTCATGGTTTACCTATAACGGTCAAGGATCTTCTGAAGTTGCTTTACGAAAAGGCGTGTCGTGAAAAACAATGGGCTTTGGTCAGACATTCTTCGGGAATGTTGGGAAAACGCGTTGAGGACTTGGCGAAAGCTGTGACTGATTTACTTGTGAGGCAGAAACAGGTTACCGTCGGAATGCCTCCGATGAACGAGAAAACCATTACCGCTCCTCTGCCTTCCGATGAACTAACGAAGCTAATTCAGAATGCGTATGGTGACGACGAAAGCTCATCAATGCTGACACAGGTGTGTAATGTTTTTCACCGTGTCAGAGATGTGCTGATAACCTTATGGTAAATTTTCTGTCGTCACTTCTGTCACACGAAGAAAGAAAAAATTACTTTCGAGATCAGTCACGTTTTTCTAATGGTTTTTTGGCGATCGTGTTTCTTCATTGAAGGAATTGTTGGTTTATCTGGCGATGTTCATCCGTACTGAGCCGAACCTGTTCTCCGAAGTTTTGAGGATGAGAGTGGGCTTAATAATTCAGGTGAGACAAAAATTCGCCGATCGGTTGAATATTTTCGCGAACTTTCGTGACTTCAGGTCATGGCTTCAGAACTTGGAAGGGTGTTGAAATGCAGTGCTGACGAAGCCAGTGACAAACTTCTGAATCTGTCGCCCTTTGAGATGAAAAATTTGCTGCATCACATCATGAGTGGAAAAGAATTTGGTCTTGGAAGCGGTTTGTGGTTTTAGATTTTCGCTCGAGTTTATCAATTCTGAAATGCTAATTTTATCAACAGCAAAAAGCGGACAATTATCGGTCATCAGCATGAAATCTAGCAAAGTTAGCAAGGTTAGTTGCACTTGTTCTCGGCTACCATTGATAAAGGTTGACATTTTTCACCTTTGGACCTCGCAGAGAAGTCATTTTGGACCTTTGCTGGCCTTAAACCGAGGCACGAGCACTTGCGAGAGTGGACAAGAAAGCCCTGAAGTTCTCCATTCTGCAGATTCCCTGGAATTGCTCGGCGAAAAACAAGGACAGTGGCTCAGACGACGTCGTCTCGATGGAGCGTTGAACAGAGTTCCAAAAGGGTTTTATTCCCAAGTTTACAAATTGCTCGTTCGTTGTCAAGGCCTCGCGATCGAAGGCAAGGTTTTACCCCAGAGCCTAACGCAGGAGATGACGGCTGGTGAACTGAAATTTGCACTTCACGTTGAAACTGTGCTGAATACGGTGCCACAGCCGGAATACCGCCAGTTAGTGGTAGAAGCCATGATGGTGCTCACCCTTTTGGTTGAGCACCATGCCGTCCAACACTTGGGAGGTATTCTGAATGTAGAACAACTCGTTCATGCCGCGAATCAGATTTTCCTTGAAGACCAGAGGAGACTTGACGGGGACGCCACATTGTGTTGTGCCTCCGGTCCGGGTCCGGGATTGCATACGCAGCCGTGCAATGGAGCTGCGTATATATGCACCCACTTCTACGACTCTGCTCCATCTGGTTGCTTTGGAACCATGAGTTATCTGATCAGAGCCGTCGCGACAACGCTTGATTGCTTCCCCAAGGATGGTGAAATTGATTGCAATATCAGTTAATCGATGGTTTTGTTAGGTTATCTATGTGGAAGAAGTCAGGAGGAAGGTCAAAAAGGAAAAACTCGTAGATGATCAATAAATCGCCGAAAACTTGTTTACGAGTAAGATTCATTCTGTACTTCGGTCTATGTGAATAATTACGTATAGATCTCGTGCCTTTCGGAGATTTTATTCGGTAATCAATACGTGATGGATAATAATCGAAATTTTAATCTGTAGAAAAGTATTCATAATCAAGGCAGAGAGCATCACCATCTAAGAATGTTTTGAAAATTTAACGTTCGAAAATAATACGCTCAAGTTTTACATCCGAAATTTTTAATGTGGATATATTTGTTAGATTCGTGTGTACTTCATTCATGTCAATCGTCTCTCACTCAGGTTTCCGGCTTAACTTTTAGGTAGTAAAATTACACCCGAGACTCTAAATTCTTCATAGCCAGAACACTGGCTTTCAATTAAATTTCCTTGCCTTCAAGACTTTATCATTGTTTTCGTGCGAGGTTCCTTATGACCCACATGGTTTTCTGATGGTGATCTTCGGTTTTTTTTTTTTTTTTAAGTGTCATGGACTACTACTCATTTCGAGGAGGCTCAAGTTATAGATAAATCATGTTTTTACGATTCGTGGTGGATTCTCTGCTGATCATCTCTGCCAACTGGAGGAACTTTATTTTCTGAGGTGTTCATCTGCGAGTTTTTCTCTGCCATTAGTGTTTGACTGGCCTGTGAATCTGCGTTATATGAATGACGCATCCTTGACATTTCAAGGTCGTATTTGGCTTTGTAATCTGATGAAGACCTTGTAAAATTCGTTGACTCCCTTTGCTTAAAATTGAGTGCCAGATCAAGGAAGAGGGAGCCGCTGTTTAGATGGAATATTGCCTTTGATGAAGACTAGACATTTGAAAGGACGCGGTTCACGTGGAACATATTGAAACAAACGTAGGATTTGAATGAGATTGTGATAGACGAGTGCCATTTTATGAGTTCCCTGTGAATCATTTATGCGATATATTCGGTTCAACCGTGATTGAAGGGAAGAATTTTGGATGGGACGTCGGCCATCGCGTGATAATCCTATTCATCCAAGTTCTTGAAACTGATACGTGTTCCCTTGGAGGTATTTAGAGTGGTTTTATTACACCTCCGATTCAATCATAAGATTTATCTTCGATTCAAGCAGAAGTTTGGTTTGTTAAACCTTGGTGATTTACCTTGGTCGTTTCGAAGTCGAAGAAATCCTTGAGTACACGAGTTAAGATTTATGTTTTTGCGAGTTTATTTCGTCCTCTTTTCCTCTTATGTTTTCTATTACATCGAGATTTTGCTTCTAGCAAATATAGGTAAAGTGTATCTGTTGAAGTTCGTACTATGGCACCAGCTTCGGTCAAAGGCCAGGCAAAGGAGAAGTTCGAAGAAGGCAAGTTCGATTAAAGTTTTCGCTGAATCTTGAGTTGCTTAATTATTTCGTATATTCAACAGGAGAAAAAATTTTATGCTATCATGGAAATCAACTTTATCGAGCAAAAATTATAGGAATCCATCCTGAGGGTAGGATGGAGTTCCAGATTCATTATGATGGCTGGAATCGAAAGTGAGGATTCAACTTTCTTTTTTTTTAATACAAATTTTTCTTAGTTGCAATGGTCACGAAATAACGGCAGGAATTATGTTCAGATGGGACGAATGGGTACCTTTAGAACGATTGCGAAAAAGCACTCCCGAAAATCTCAAATTACTCGCCAAGGACAGAGGTACAGGAACCAGGTTAGTGAATCATACCTATCTTATCTAATTTTCTGCTTGAAGTGCAAACTTTTCTCTTCGATAGACTTGCGCGTACATCATCGCATATTTCACGTGCAAATTATTTTCTAACGAACAATTGGCGTGTGCACTATTTGTTCTCTTCCCAAAATTCCTATGCGCGTGCTCCGAACCGCGCTTCTATTTGTTACGGTATTTTTTCTTTAATTTTTTCTGTATTGTGAATCAGGTGATGGGAATTATTTTCAACGTATGTTTCAGCAAAGCAAAAAAGAAGAGCGCGAAAGCTTCTGGAGTCGCTGTCGCCATGGATCATGCCAGCAATCACAGTCGCAGCAGTTCACGTACATCGACACCGACGCCGAGCACGCCCATCATGCAAACATCCACTTCTGATTACTCAGCAGTCCCTGGGCAGAAAAGACCTCACTCGGCCATTACTGCTCCGCATGCGGAGAATTCACCAGATACGCTGGGGACTCCCGTCGCGAAGAAAGCCCGTCGATCCACTCGCAGCTCCATGACGAGTGACGCATCGGGAAAACCTGGTGAGAGACAAGAAGAGGGTGTCAACCCGTTTTCCACTAAAATACGAGGCCCGACTTATTTGTCGATCCGGTCACGTGTTGATCAGGGGATCTGTTCGAGTATCAGAACAGTTATTTATTCATCGTATTGTTTGTTGGAGGCACTGAGTTCAGTTCGTGTTCGTTTACTTTGTGTAAGTGATGGAATTTGTGTATGATGAGGGGATCGTCTTATCTTTCTGCTCTTTTATTTTGTTCAATTGCTATCCAATCGCTCGTTGGGTTTTGATATTGGAATGTCTTTCACTGATCAAATGTGAACATTTTTTTTCAATGCTGAAATTTTCTAAATTATCCGCGCCAGGTCATATATTTGGCGAATAGTATATTCTCATCCTTTTTCGCATGACTATTTCTAGACCGACTTTCGTTGATTATTCTTATGAGAGTCATTGAAATTACCTCATATGTTCCGAAAGCTGTTCATGATTCTTAAAATAAATTGAAAAATTATAATTTCATGCATTGGTTGGAGAGTCCTTCTAAAATTTTCATACAGTATATATTGGATTGTCTTCGTCGTGAGAGCTTCGAGATTTATTAGGCATCACTTTTCTGAGAACCATTGAAATTGTTTGTTCTGAGTACTGTAGATTATTCTAAGAATAAATTTAAAAGTATGCTTTCGTCTCTGGTTTGAAGAGTCCTCTTGCAATTATCGTGGATTTTAGATGTTCTCTTCGAGGGAGGAAGTGTCAACGTGAGGTAGGATCTAGTGAAGGAAGTTTCTTGAAGTCCCGTGGGGAAGTAGTTTTTCCCTGTCCGACTCTTTTTCATCTCATTCTCTTCCCTGTCTGCGCTGTTCGGCATATTCTGACGAACTTTCCTGTTACTAGAGAGTGAGACCAGTTCGCCGAGATCCGCAAGTGGTAGGACACGCTCAGCTGTGAAATCGGACGTGTCTGACGAGGGTACTCCGACAATGGAAGGAAAAACGAAAGAAATGAAGCGTCCTGCTGCACCGGTGAAGTCGCCTGGGAAGCCGGCAAAAATGTCAACTTCAGTAAGTACTGATATGAATTGGTTTGATGATTTACGTTGCAAACATTTGCATATTCCCCCCACTCTTTTTTCCTAAATCTGAAGCGTATTGCCAAGACATATCCATTCGATGGCAGCCGGGTTGACGACGTGATGCTAGAACGAATGTTCCCGTCTAGATGTTTGCCGTTCCAGGTCCCGAAGGAACTGCAGAAGGTTTTTGTGTTCGATTGCAAAGTTTATCAGGAAAATGCTTGGGTGAGAACACAAGTTGACTGTTCAAGTATTCGAGATGCGAATTTCCGCGTTGATTTAGGTTCCGTTGGTTCCTGCAAAGCGAAGCGTCGGAGAAATTATTACGAGCTTTTTGCAGCGTTCTTCGAAGGATGAGTTGCCGTAAGATTTTCTTAATACTGTACATTACTTGTTTCGATTCGTTTTGAATATTGTTTTGAATCCAGAACTCCTGCTGGATTTGACCTACCCAAAATTCTTTCCTATTTTCAGGTCCAATGTGGAAGGAAGCTTTGGAAGCGGGTTAGAAGCTGTCTTCAATGACCTGCTTCCGGAAACCTTATTGACTGAGAAAGAGATTCTGGTTAGTATTATTTACAAATTTTCTATTCTCGAATGTGATGATTATTCCGAACAATTATATATTATATATACTGTATTATATATTTTTATATTTTTTCCATTCTGCGAATCGGTTTCAGGTTGAAACTGAAGGAAATGCGAGTAAATACTACGGAATCGTTCATCTCCTGCGATTGTTATGTAAGTGTTGTGCACAATCATTCACGGTCGCCTCAGAAACCTATAACTTGACACAGGAAAATGAAAACTTGAACAATTTTTATCCGCAGGTTTCCTTCCGTCTATCATGCAGATTTGCTCACCTGGGAATAGTGGAATCGCTGGAATCCGGAAACCTTTGGAGACTTTTTTGCGGTATTTTTCGTGAATTGTTCGATTCGTTGAGCATGCATTGATTCGTGTTTCCTTGTTTCCAGGTTTATTGCGAATAACTCGTCAACCTATGTGGCTGAAGATGTTCAGTTCGTAGAGGCAACTAAAACTTGTGACTAGCTTTTCGCGAGGACCAGTCCTAGTGTGAAGACGGAATATTTTTGTTCTCTTGAAATGTCGTTCAAAAGTTTTCGTTACGGTTGATAATTTTTTGATGATAAAATGGTATAATGGTTTGCGTTAACATAATTACTTCGTTCTTGTTCTCTGTCCAGCTTTTGATTTTTTTCAGACATTTCGTTTCTAGAATTTTGGTTGGAAGTGTGCATTTTTTTATTGCAATGGCAGGTGCGGCGCATTTTCCCAAGGGTACCACAGAAGAAGTAGAAGAAGACGCGTCGGAATTGCAATTTCCCAAAGGTATCTTAAACTATCTGGGAGTGGGTTGACGTAGATTTATGAATCATTGTTCTCTGCAGAGTTCCAAAATGCCGAGACTTTGTTGTGTTCCGAAGTTCACATGCTTCTTGAGCATAGAAAGCAGCAAAATGAAAACACAGAAGACGAACAAGAATTGTCAGAGGTCTTCATGAAAACATTCGCTTATTGCCAAAAATTTTCCAAATTCAAGAATCGAGAAACGATTGCAGCCGTTAGAGCGTGAGCAAAAGCCTTCTGTTAATCGTCATTGACGCATATGATATTTCATTTTCATTTTCCAGACTTTTGATGCAGAAAAAGTTGCACAAGTTTGAGGTTGCAGCTTTAGCGAACCTCTGTCCCGAGACTCCAGAAGAAGCGAGAGGGCTCATTCCCAGGTACGTACCTGAGCGTGTTTAATTTTGTATTCTTGAATCATTCGATTCTTTTTTTTTTTTTTTTGAGCAGTCTGGAAGGGCGGTTTGAAGACGAAGAGCTACGGGAATTGTTGGATGATCTTCAAACGAAGCGAAGTTTCCAATATTAGTGACTCTCCTTAAATACATTTTCATCACCGTCGTTTTATTCTGTGTTCAAATTTTCCCTAACCAAAGGAAAATTTGTCTTATTCCTGGAGAGTTTTGTTTGTGTCCTTATTCTAGATAAATGTACGTCAGTCGAAGATGCTTCTTAGATTTGTTAGTAAAGTGTACTACGCAGTACGCTTTTGCAAAGCACTGCGAATTGGTCGGTGATTATGGAGATCGTGACACGATTTGGCTTGCACAAGCCGCTCTAAAATTGGGTGACCATGGCGACTTTGATCAAGAACCAAATTCTGAAGCATTTGTCAAAGTGAGTCTGCCTTGTCTCATGAGCTTTTCTTGAACTCAAGAGCTTCATTTGTGAAGGTTTGCGAAAAATTTGAATCCGGAGCACTTGAACATCAGTGCTTTCAGAGGAGAAGGTGAATTACATCACTTGGAGCTGAACGAAGAAATCCTAGCGGAATTACTTGAGTTACCGTCGTGGCTGCTGATCAAACGAGCATTTTGCAATCGAGTTACCGCACGCATTCCATGGGCCAGTCTGAAATCAGTTCCCATAAAATTGGTAAGCTCTGACGACGTATATGAATTACAGTGATAGATCGTCTTACGAACGAAATTGACGACCGGAGAGATCCTTGAGTGTCTTCCTATGAAAATTATAGTTTTCAAGATTTTGCACATGGTCTGCTCGTACCCCTTCATTCAAGCAATATCTCAGGAATTTGATTTCGACTTTTAAAATATCAGTGAATCCGCATCCTGACAAAAGAAATATATATAGGATAAATGAAGCCAGCTGTCGTTCCCGAGAAAAAACAAACTGTATGTACTTCTTACAAAACTGGCAGACTGTGTAAAGATTTGAGTACTGTATTGACCCTTGCTTCATGAGCAAAACGTGAACCAGGAGGGCAAGAATAAATCAGAAACTACTTCTTGAATGAAAACTTTCTTGAAACTTCAGTTTTCTTCAATTTGAGATCCAGACCTTGAAATTCGTATAACCGTAGTTGAGCTGGACATCTTCATTTCGGAAATGTATCGAAATTTTAAAACCGATTTCCGTCATTTACAATTTACTGCATAGAGATATTTAGTTAAAATATTGTATAGCAAATATTTCATTTCGTTCTTCATTTTGCTGAAATGAATGATTTAATGTAGGATCCAGAAACGTGCATGAGTGACGCATAAATCTTGATTCGGATGCCTTATTTTCCCAGCGCTTATACGACTTGGAGCTTGTCATTGAGACAACCGAAGATTTGCGCCCTCTATCGAAGGTACATGTTCCTTCGTACAGTTCGGGAGGATCTTATGGATTCGTCGATAAAACAATTGACGGAATGTCCGTCTCTGTGGAAAACGTGATCGTCACGTTTCGTAGTCAAGCTTTTTTCGCATCCATTGAGCTGTCCCAAGTGTATTTGTACTCGACGACGCCGCAGTTCAAGTTAGCGGAGCTCAAGTGCACACGGCTTAAAGATACAACGAAGGGAGAGACGCTGATTTTCAAGGAGCTCAAGTTCGCTTCCATGAAAATCCAAGCTTGTTCAACTGTTGACTCGACTTTGCCGCCGTTGAGACTGATAACAAATGATGCACGGTGTAGAATCACACTGAAAAAGAAGTTGAATGGTTCGTTGATTTCCTCGAATCCATTTTTCAGTGGGTCCATAATATTTTTCTACGCATTTTTTCGATATTCTGCCTACGGGGATGGGTCCTTGAGTTTTGAGACAAAATAGGATAAGTTTCCTGAAATTTTATATACGAGAAATTTTCAGTCTCACAAATCATTCCTTTACCCATCAGAGCTGTTCAGCATTCTCTCTGCCAATTTCAGTTCACTTTTCGGGTCTTGAAGCCAAGAAGGTGTAAGAATTGCCGTTGTCCCAAGTGAGGAATTGGACCAACTCTTAAATCCATGTGTTTCGCATGATTGTTTTAATTCGATTGATTTATATCAATTTTGATCATCATCTTATTATCTGTGGAGAGCTTGTAAAATAATGCTGAAAATATTCCTCTCGGTTCGAATGAAACTAAAACTTCGCATTTTCGCCTTCCCTAGATTGCTCCGTTGTTGGTTGCAGACTTGCGATCGTGGTGGACGCCCTGCTGTACGTGTTCACAGATTCGCAACTGAAAGCCGCAAAAGTTTTCATCGATTCCTTGCTTCACCTAGTTCAAAAAGGACAGGAGCAAGCCAAGAAAGTAAAAGCACTAAGGAAGCTCGAGGTGAGGATAAAAATTTGGTATTACAGTTTTCATTTAATGTTTACTCAGGAGTGAGAATAAAATTGATTAATTTCTGTGTTTCAGTCGACAGAGATACGAACAGACTCGAAATCGTTTCCTCAGCAGTTCGCCGCAGGACAACGGACGACCCTCGGCCATACGCAACATTCGCTTTTCCACGTTCATGACGTTGTTGAAACGTCGTATCATTTCGCTTGCAAGCAGCTGGAGTTGCATTTGAGTGATGACGCTGGCCCGGGGCGCTCGTCTCATCCGGAGCTGAAGAACGGGGGAGCAATGGTGGTCAACTTGGGACGCCTTTATTTCGACTACTATCCGTATCACCCTGTTGGTAGTTGGGAAGGACCTGGAGCTCGTAAGCATTGGGTGAACTATCCGTCCGGCACTACACCAGCCATCTGGGAAGCCAAGGATTTAACTGCGTTTAAGGCTGATCTAAGCGCAATTTTGCGCGGATCCAGACCTTCCCATGCTCCTTTGCAAAGGACGCAAGCTGTGGAAGATTCAGTGAGTGAAAATGCGTTCCCCATTTCAGAAAATGTGGATAAGGATATTCTTTGTTCGAATTACCTCGTCAAGCTGAAGCGTAACGAAGTCCTGAATGATTTTCGCCGTAACATATGGACATTTCTGAAGTGAAGTCTTAAACTCTGTAAGCTTTTCACGGAGAAAGGCCAAAAAGGTTCTTTCTCTTTTTTTTCAGATTAGCTCGGTGTAAAGCTGTGATGTACACTGTTAGGGCTGAACATTTTTCCTTTCCTCTCCCAGGCGCGACACACTGGTTCTGTGGATGATTCCATAATTTTTATCTCTTCAACTGCTCCTGCTTTCTTTACTCACAATTCAGTGATAGTAAAGTCAACCATTGATTTAATGCAACCAAATTTGTTGCTACTCCGGCTTAGTGCCACAAAATCCCATTGAACAAATCTGCCCCCTTTATTTGGTACAAATAAGGTCACTGGTGCAAAAAATGTCATGTTGCATCCCTCCGAGTCTTTTTCCACACAATTTGAGATTCAGTCATTAAAATTCCTCAATGTCAATTGGGGACATGAATTGATTGTGAATGCAGAACTGTTATGAATGGAAGATACAGTACAGTATTTCCCACGTAAATCATTATAAAGTCTGAAATGTTCTTCAAAATTTTCTTTGGTTTAGTTGAGGACATGTGTAATGACTCCATGAACCTCCGAGTGGGGCAATATGAATGAATTTCTTGAAGTTAGCCCTTGATTTCCACTCGTTGTCGGAACCGTCTAAACTTGAACTTCAGATCTTTCCTTTCTTGGATAGCCTGTTTTTAAGCAGCTGAAATCATTCAGCAACATTCCAAAGGCTTTTTAAGTGTCAAGTTTTGCCTCGATTATCCATTTCCTTTGCATTTCAAGATGGGCAGCTGTGGGGAAGTTTGACTCGGAAATACTAGTCATCGATTGAAAGAAATTTGATTTTCAATGAAGCCGAAGTCAAAATAATAATGCGTATCGAGGAAAACATTGAGCACCATTCGTTCGTCAACATTTCTTTTGAAACTTATGAAAACGTTTGCATTTTTGCGTATCCGTGGATCATGACATAATTTCTAATGAATGCAAGTTGGAATTTGCATACTGTACTTACCAGGCAAAACAGTCAATTTATTTTCTATTCGCTCATTTACAATGTACGAGGTGCTGTATGGAAAACCCACTACTGTACCCTGAATGTGCATGGGGATAGCCAACGAGAAAAAGAGCAGCAAATTTATTTGAATTGCTCTGGGGCCCAGATTTTTTCACACTGTTCAGAACATTTAAAATGGTTTGTAATATACCTTATGAATTCCAGATCTGCCTCAAATTTGCAGCTCATAGCCTTTTGGGTGTCTTGCCAGATTCACTTTAAAGAACAAAATGCACGTTGAATGCGTCAAGTTGCATCACCTCAATGAATCCTAGTGCAATGTGCAATATAATTTTTTCTTTTTCATTAGTTGATGTCTTATCGTTATAAAATAGAGAGTAGGCAAATGTCTGTTCGCGAATAACCCTGAAAAATGTCAGTTCAACGCTTCAACCCGAAGCCATTTACTGTACATATACATTATTGACTGCATCCCTTTTCCGGATTCAGTACCACAAAATCTCCCTGAATGAAATGTGTCCCTAAATTTAGCGGTGATTGTATTTTGACACCGGAATGCATGTACTCTATTGCTGTATTTTCATGGTTCCTGTTCCACATGAATAATCCAGTATGAAAATTGAACTGTTCTCATATCTGAATTGAATTTTTCTGGGTTGTTACCTTATGAATTTGAATGAAAGTTTACTTATGTTCTGGCTCTATCCTGTTATTGCGTGAGATGTGAATTATTTTCGTGGAATAAATCGAGATTCTAAAATTTCAAAATCCTTGAGCTAATTCTTGAAAAAGGGGCGACTTCCTCTTGAACTATGTGCAGTATACGCTGTACTCGTTTTTTAAAAACTAAATCTTCGGTAGTTCTTTGCTTGAGGCTTAATTGTACCGCAGTGGCTTCGAAGTACAGTACTGGGATATTCCTACGTTGTTGCTTGTGTGGATCAGGTGGAATTTGCTTCTCGACAGTCTCAACCTCAGCCGAGGCTCAATCAGGAATCCGGGTCAAGTTGGAGTACTGGTCGTCCACCTGCTTTGCCTCAGCTGAAGAAGCTTATGTCGGCGTGCTTGATTTTCCGCTTGTCGGAATTCCGTGTGCATCAGGTCACAACGCGCGAGAAGAAGCATTTGCGGGAATTCCTCAACGGTGAGTCTTCTCGAATATTCCGATGTATCTTTTTTGATGGAGTGAACAGTTCATTCTTCGTTCCCAAAGAAGAAAGTTATTTCCTCATCAGTCGACTGCAATCTTACCTGTTCTTGTCACAATAATCTACCTCGTGATTTTGGTGCTCTAATCGTGCATTTTAATGTCTTGCTTTTTCGTGTGTTTTTTTTCTTTGCCGTTGCGTGCCCAAGTCTTGGTCAAGGGTTACAAGGCTTCTAAGAAAAGTCAGAAGAAATCAGGTGAAGATCCCTCTTTTTTTGTATCGGCATGGCTGAAAGGAAGATGCCTTAGTTGTGTAGGATTAGTTGTAGAAATCTGTTCATAGCCACTTCAATTCTATTATGCGGCCGGGAAAAAGTCGTGAAAATTTCGTGTTCTGCGTCTTAGGAGCATGCGTGTTAACGCTGGCGTTTTGAACTTTATTCATTTTTGCGTTATTCCAAATGTTGACAGGTGACCAGGAAATGGCTCCGTTGCCGGATAATTCTTACCGGGTTCATCTGGAATTTATTCAGTATTATTACCCAGGCAATATGGACTTTCCTCGTGAGTATTATTTTTTCATTGAAATAAGAATAGGATGTGGCTGCTTTAGAGAGTACGAAGCTTTTGCGTTACGAGTATTTTCGAGTGAAATCGATACGAGGATAATACGCGGGAACCCAGTGGAATTTTTCTTCCTTGCGAAGTACTGACATTTTAGTGCGAGTATCTGTGGATTTTCCGCGCATGCTTCGTTTTCTCAAGTGCTCTACCTGGGAATTGTTTCTCAAGCATTTAAAAGGGTCGAAGTTCTTCCGTGTTAATTAATTTTGTAGACTCCGGTTGTAGTGCTCAGGATGGATTTTGGATTTTTCACGATTTTACTTTTTTATTTTCAAGTTCCTCCGATGAAGTTATATGTACACTGCAATCCGATTGCTGTGAAGTTTGATGAGCTGACGATATGCTGGGCAAATGCGGTCATCGGAAACCTGGTTTCCGAATGGGAGCAAAGAGAGAAAGTTAATGAGGGATCAGCGGAAGATTTAGAGCCGGATCTGGCGAGAAATCCGCCGCTTGACGTTAAGATCGAGATGATTATGCCAAAGGTTGTTCTTGAAGGACAAGAATGCCCTGGGCAACCGGACCGTCCCACGTGTCTGCAGTTCATGTGTACTCGCTTGCTGTGTTCAAATTACCGTCAACAAGGTTGCGGTTCCCGTGCGGACTTGGCCAAGTGCTTAGAAGGCATCCAAAACGGTTCCTTGTTTTTCGGGTCCGCTTTTCCCTCTACCAAGGATGATCCTCTCCTTGTTCACCCCAAGTTCTTGCAGCATGCTACTGGTGAGAACTAGCGTTAATCTATCGTGAATTGCGTGCTCACGAGTGTATTTTCAAAAGTTATGACTTCTATCGAATCTCACGATAAGTCAACCGAAACGCACCCGAAAACGGGTTTCTTGATTCCCCTTTGCTCTGAAGGCTTCACCTCCTTTTCTCCCAACCCTTGGGTTCCGAGCGAAATTTTCAGTAACTAAAAATTGCAGAACGTTCTAGTTGAATCCATGTCTTTAGACTGTCAGGATGCACTTACGCTGTTGCATGCTCCATTACTTTCTACCTGGCTGAAGTTGGAAATACTCACAATTCAACAACTGAAGATGATTGTCGATGCCTTAAGCTTAAAATTTGACTGACGCGGAAGGATTAGCTTCGTTTAAAGATATTTTGCTGTGAATAAACTGGCGTTAAAAGGTTAAAACCAGCGAGCAGTTTTATAATTCGAAGAGTAAATTCAGATCGGTTACAATTACAATAGCATGGAAGAGGAATGTACAATGATGCCTCTGCTAGTGCTTAAGTAAAGTTTCTTTCAAATTAAAATGAAAAAAAAATGTTCAAAGCATTTTTCATTAGTTTGATTGCATCTAAAGGTCGTTTCGTTAGCTGAAAGAATTGCGGATGCCCTAGGATCTATAAAAGCCTATCATTCAGTATTCAGGTTCCAATTATACTTGACAACCCGTGTTAACTTGACCAAGCAATTCTTCTTTCATCGGTTCTTCTTGACGGTCCTCATTGTCTATTTTTAGTTTGAACAGATTTGTTTCTATTGGTTGAAATAGTCAGTCGCAATGGACGTCATACCGAATTTTAAAAGCGTATCGAATTTTTTGTCCAGGCAACGACCATTTGAGCGCTGTTCCGGTTCCAGCAAGTGAAGAGAGCAGCCGCAAATCGAGCACGGGTGAAGCCAGTAGGGATCTTATGTGGTATGAAGCCAAGGATGTGTGGTTTTGCCAATGCGATCCTGTTTGGGGCGAATTCTTTGGTGCCAAAGCAATGGACCATCGTCCTGTTCCTCTTCTGGATACGATTCCGTTGGAATTATGGGGTTACATGAACGTTAAGGCTAACCTCTCGGAATGCTACGCAATCGTCGACGTACCTAATCTTATAACAGTGCAACTGAATCATTATCAGAATCTTTTTCTTCTGCGATTGTTTGACCGGTTGACAAAAATGTCTGATGTGTTGGCTGCGGATGCATCGCGTGTAGAGAAACGGGGGTTCAAGCGAAGGATGTGTTTCGGAGGCATGTTCCCGCAAGTGGACATATCTCTACTCATGCCTTCACAGACTGCTGACAAGCTGCCGTCGTTATCAAGTCCTGGTGAATCTTCCATCATTGCAGAAACATCCAGCATGACAGATCTCGCGGGTATTGTCATGGGATGCGAACGACGGTTGCAACACCATGCTAATGATCGTCAAGGAACCTTGGATAGTTTGGATTCTGTTGCAGCGTTTTACCCCAAACTGGAAAATGGTCCTCTTTTGAAGCAAGACCAAGACAAAGAATCATCCGCGCGAAAAGAATCGCTGAAGCACCAGAGAAGTAATAGCACCGTCGGCAATGCTTCTCCACAGTCCCTCGCGGGACTCTTGCCTGAATCGAAGTCGCAGTCTTTTCTTTCCGGGGCTTTCAGCAATCTTAAAATGCCCGATAACCTGAACAGCATGAAGAAAGGAATGTCTACTTTGTTGACCAATATGGCCTTAACTTCGCCTAGTCTTAGTCCATTGCATAGTGCCAGTCAATTTTCCGACGCACCGAGTTTTCACATGGATCGATTAGTTATTGAAGAAGATGCCATGTCCACGATCAGTTCAGAAAGCGAGACGTTCGTTCATCTCTCCTCGTCGGATCTGGGAGCTGCTTTTTATCAATCTGTGGATCAGTGTTTGTTGTCGTTTCCGTCTGCCAAAGCCAGCGCCGCTGACCGAGCTGACGAGGTAGAGATAGCTACCGATGTTTTGGATGATGCCAGCTTTGCCAACCCTTCCACGCCTAGTGATGAACTTCCTTCCAGTCTCACTCGGCGGAAAGATGTGGTACGTGATTTTGTTGTTTTTCTTAATGTCTTCGATGCGTTTTGACACTGGTCAATTGTGTCACTTCCTCGTTCTTGCGTGAAAGTTTTGAACCTCAGATGTCGATTTTTGCGGTTTCTTATAATTCGGTACGTGGGGTGTCCGATTTATGTGTGCAGTGAAATCTTTTTAACTGAAGAGCTATTGAATTTGTAATGAAATTGGTAGTTTGTATCGTAATTTACCCAATCTGCAATCCGTTGTAACTGGATGATGGCCCATGCCACGTCAACAAATCAAGCATTACCTGAAATTTATTCTCTCACGTTTATTTGAATTAGATATCTGTTCTGACAATCCGAGTTGGTCAAGTCCAGTTTGTCCAACACATCGAAGATTCTGAGTCTGTGATGAAACTTGAGTGCTGTCATTTGGCCTTTGAAGACTGCCCTGCCATAGCATGGGATGAATTCCAAGTAAGTCCAGGATTGTGGATTCATGAAATTCTGAATTCCCATTTTTATTTTAACCCAAATGTCAGAATGAATATTTTTGTCCTTTTTTGCATTCAGGCCTTGTTTTACTTTTTGGTATGGTGTGTGACGAACCATAATTTTGGCTTTAATCTTTTAGATGAAGTTATGCCCCCAAAACTTTGTCATAAAAAAAATTGGTAACAACGTATGATACATTGAGAAGATGTACAGATTGATGTGCTTAGACATTGAAAAATCTTACTGAAAATTGTTATGAATTTTTGCGTGCTGTTCTGGTTACATCTGTGATTCAATCTATTTCAATATTTTATCATACGTCACTTTATTCTTTCGTGCACACTGCATTCACAAATAATAGAAAGTGTGCTCACTGGAACCACGCCAAGTTCACATATCTTTCTGGTGAATAAAAACTCAGCATACTCTCAAAGGTGTCAACGAAGCTGTCCGGAATTTGTTGAGCTTCTGTTGCGTTTGCAACTACCTCAAGTAACTGAATCTCCAGCCAAGCTTCATCGATTTTCAGACTCTTCGTATTGAACCCTGATTTTTTGATGTTTGCAAATTTATTCTCATTTTGATACGCCACGGGTTTCCGAACAACCGGAGGGATTCTTTCAGAATTCTGACGCGTCGGGCTTGCGGGGAGATCAACCTGTTCCCTTCCCAGTTTCACAGATCTGTTGTAGAAAACAGACCCCCCTAAGTTATTTTTTAATGAAAACACGGAAGGAAATCTCAATTATTTTTTCAATTACGTTAATCGTTTGAGGTCAATTATAGCTAATTATTTTATTTAAATTCGTTGCGTCTAGCTCAAGTGTTCATGAGATGCAGGGGAACATTCACCCGTTTTCTTCTGATTACATGTTTGTTTTTTCAATCATAGTTTTTAAGGGCAAAAATAAATTATTCGGATTCAGAAATGAAAATGAGTTTGCAACAAAAATGCTTATGATGTTGAATACTTGCGGAGATTCCCGGAATTGAAAAAAAAATCTATTTCACGTCAAAGTTTGTTGAAATACAGTATAACCGTAGCCCACATACCTTTTCTTCTCGATTTTTCCATAATTGGAGCGTTTTGATTTGCCAGTTTGAACTGGGACAGTTGCTGGACTTGTTTGTTCTGGCAGTCCGGAATAAAATGTAAGGAGGAGGAAAGCTGCCACAAAAACGATGCACGTTGTCCCAGGATGCTTGCTGGTGTAGGTCAGCAACGCATGACAAGTTTTTCTAACCTTGTTACTTGTTGAAAATGGGCGTAGCACTAGTCCTTTGAAACGAATCATGTCACTGTTGCAAGGGAAATTTTCACAAGTTAAAAGCTGAGTTGGTCTTTTGCCGTTGCTTGCTTATCTGAAATTGAAGCGAATGAGAGCCTGGGAAGGAAGTCGGTTTCCTCTGGTACTGGGAGAAATACGATAAAGTTCCCAGGATCAAATCAATCCACATTGGTTTGGTTTGCTTTTCTTTCTGGACGATTTTTCTCTGTTTCTCTTTAATTTTCTCTTTCCTTCTATTGCTTCTTCATGATTTTCTTTTCATCAAACTTTATAGGACTACAAGCTGGGGGTGCCCAGCCACACCTGGATGTTCAAAATTTTACAGAGAATTGAAATTCATTCATTTGAGCTGATCAACATTTCAGGGTGGGCTGCTGAAAATGTTTACAGAGAATTGAAATTCAATCATTTGAGCTGATGAACATTTCAGGGTGGGCTGCTGAAAATGATAGAGGGTTGTATTAATGAGTAAAAGCTTTGCAAAATCAGGGAAAATTTTACATTGTCCCTGATCCCCTTCCTGAATTGTTTAAGCATATCACACATTCAAGATACACCAGTAGATGTTCAAATTCATTGAATACTGTATTTGAAAGAAGTTCATGGTCAAGAGAACATCACATACTCAGGGATCAGTTGTGCTCAATGAACCACCCAAGTCCCTTTGGGTCACAACTTGCATATGAACAGGTTTTTTATTGTCTACTATGCACTCCAGGTCCAGTGTTTAATGGTCTTTTCCCCATCCACAAAATAAGATGCCTATTTTATTTTTATGGACCCAACCTCACATAATCTAAGTGATTCTTGGCAAAACTTTGTCAGTGTTGAAAAAACTGCATGGAATGTTTAAAGGCTAAATGCTATCACCCAGCTGTCAAGTGAAGGATGTCAACTTCTTAGTGATCTTTATCAGCATTCAAACCTTAAAAGCTAATCCATATTCCTTGAAGTGAAATCTCACTTATAAATTCTAAACTCCACCCACAAAAACAATTTGATAGATGGAGTGAATAAGCCCACTCCATTCTCCTTGTGGCCAGGCACCACCATTTAGTCCCATTAAAATCAAGGCAGGGTGCCCTTTCACACTTTGCCATGATGTGTAAAATGCATGGAAACCTGCACATCCATTGAACCACCTATCCTACCCCACAAACCTAACCTATTGTTTGAAAAATTTTGCACAAAAACTGAGGGTGATTACTTCATTATGTAGGAGCATTTTTTCCATATTTTACGAGCATTGGGTATTGTTTTCAAAGGTCACCTCCAAACACCCTGATATGTGTATCTTTAAGTCTAATTCTTGTGAGCATTTCTTAATACGATACCTGTCTTCATTGAGAAAATGCAATGGTCTAAAATGTCATTGTTAGGCTAGGCATGAGGTACAGATTGGCAAGAGGTCCAATCCTTCCCTATGGCATCTAAAAACTTAGCAAATTAAAAAAATAAGAAGCATTACTTCCATCTTACCATACTCCTTCTTTGGTGAATAGTGCTCCATTTTAATTCATAATTTTCCAAAAATCCTACACTTACCATCCTTAATCTCAATAAAAAATTGGGTGGCTGGGTTGATGCCTTTCCCTCGGTCACCACCCATTCTGGATTAATTTGAAAAAATTTTAACCCATCCATTTTTCTTCAATTTGAAATTCACACAAAAATACATACCTTCAGTGGAGCCCAGTTCTTTATTCTGTATGGCAGAAAAATCCCTATAGAATGTTGATTGAATGGGGCAAGTCCCCTGATGTAAACACTTTTTAAGGGATTTTCTGTTGATTTTTGTAAACACTTTTTGCATTTTTCATCCTAAGATTTTCCAGGTTTTCAGGAAGAAAGACCTTTGTAAACTTCAGTGTTTCATTGTCTGATGTAAAAAGGGGAAATTTTGCCAAGAAAAAATCCAACAAAATTGAAGTTTGTAGAAAAAGATTTGAATTTATGTTGCAGAGTTAGTGCGCCTTCCATGGTTTGTTTTTAATGGAATATTCATAGCTGCTTCATTTAAAAATAGAAAACTAAATTCAAATAGTTCAAAAATTTTCCAGTTTTTGAGTTCAGTTTAATTTTAAAATTATTTCGGAAACTGGGATTGCTGTCATTTTTGCAGGGTTTGTTTGCCTTGAAATGTGACTCATTCTTGTGTTTATAGTACATAGAAAGAAATTTCCATTTGGTGAATTTGAATTTAAAATGTAAATGTAAAAATTGTAAACAATTTCATTTGTTTTTCATTCAGCTCAATTTTTAAAATATTTCTGGAACCACAATTGCTCTCACTTTTGCAGGATTAGTGCATCTGAGTTTGGTTTGATCTCATGTTTTGTTTGAAAAAAATATTTATGTTTCAATTTTAAAATGAAAGACTAAAATAAAAATTTATCTGTTTTAAAGTTTAGCTCATTATAATTTCTTATATATTCTCTCAATTTCAAAAACTTTGCAGGACTATGTGTGCAAGGATGTTTTAAAAATTATGTATTTTTTGTTTTGTGTCAATGGTGGAAAATGGTACAGTTAAAATTGAGAGATTAAATTTTTTTTACAATTTTTGTATGGTTTTACAAATTCTTTTTGCATTTTTCACTGCAATTTTGTCAATAATCAAGTAATCGCAAAATTAAAAAAGTGAAATGTGGCAAACATCATGGTGCATTTTATAAAGTTTTAAAAAGTAATTTTGATGAGGACTTTATTTTTTGCCACATTTGTAAAGTTGGCAAACCAGGAAACAGAATTTTCAAAAAATTCCATTTTTTCAGTTCAGCTCATTGTAATTTTTTAAATATTTGCTCAATTTCAAAAATTTTGTAGGACTATGTGCACATGGATGTTTTAAAAATTTAGATGTTTTTGGTTTTTTTAATAATGGAAATTGGTACAGCTAAAATTAAGAAACTGAAATGTTTTTTTCATAATTTTCTTCCATTTTTGAGAACGGTTTTGCGTTTTTCATCATAAATCAGTCAATAATCAATTTTTTTTCAAAATTTAAAAAAGGAAATGATGGAAAACATCATGGTGCTTTTTATGAAGTTTTAAAAATTAGTTTTGATCAAGAATTCAATTTTTGTCAAATTTTGAAAGTCCAAGAAACTGGAAACGGAATTTTCAAAAAATTCAGTTTTTTCAGTTCTTCTCGTAATTTTTTCAATATTCTCTCAATTTAAGAAATTTAACAGGAACATGTGCGCAGGGATGTTTTGAGAATTTAAATGTGTTTGTTTCATTTTAATGATGGAAAATGTTAGTTAAAATTAAGAAAGTAATGTTAATTTTTCGCGATTTTTGTACAGTTTTCAAAAAAAGTTTTGCGTTTTGCATTGTAACTTGGTCAATTATTGAGCAATTTTAAAATTCAAAAAAAGGAAATGCAGAAAACATCATGGCGCTCCTTTATAAGTTTTAAAAATGAGGTTTGTATGCAAATGCAGTTTTTTCCAAATTTTTAAACTTGAAAAAATGGGAAACGGGACCCTCCTGCAGGCCTCTCTGGGGGCTCTGTGGGAGGGAGGTAGGGGGAAAAGTCAGGAGGGATAGATATTGAGCCAACCCAGTGACCAACTGAGATAAGTAACTTTATTATAAAGGAGAACACCTGATTTGTCATCCTTTGTCAGTGGAACAAGGTAGCCTGCTTCTGTTTCATTAATTCTAAAAATCTCCGGTGAAAAATTCACAAGGGGTTTGCATGCTGGCACATTCAGTTTTGATGAAAATAAATCTATTTGCTTGCAGAACAAATTTTCATCCGGGAAAAATTCGTGGAGCGATACGTCTGCTGATGCGGAGCACCGTTGTTCCGTTCGAATGCGATATTCCATGAAGCCAGTGGAAAGAGAACCGTGTCACGCCTTCACCCAAGACGTGCTGTCCGTTTCTCCAGAAGCCAATCGTTTGCTTCGGGGTCGATTGGATCGTTTTTGCAAGGAACAGATGCGTCACGTAACGGGAGACGACTCCATGGATGACAGCGAAAAATGGCAACGTCGTTTGTGTTTGCTGCTTTGTGAAGACATGCGATCTCACGGTGGACCCGTGCTGGAAATGGAGTTGAAAGATATCAGGTTGCACTTGTTGATGAGCATTGCGATGGGGTTGACGGCTCTGTTCGAAGAAGAGGAAATTGTCCCTCCGTTACCGATGAAGGTTTGTCACAAAAAATTGCGTTTACAGTTTTTTTTTACAGTATGGCTAGTTTTCTCATTTCATCTCCGATGGGCTGGAAATTGCGTTGCTTTTCGCCGCTACGTAAAGTACTTCCTTGTTGTACTCCGCCATTCGAGTTTTCGAATGGGCAGGTGTCGCACTGTTCTCGGAAGCCTGAACAGTCAACATACCGTATTTACGCGAATATCATCAGCCTCCCAGATTTTTCATGCAAAACATCAAAATTCAATTGTTAGCCAAATATAAGGATCCATTTACTTTCCTGGCGTTCTGACCTTCCATGAGCCTACATTTCTGGCTGAATTTAGGTTTTCCGCGGACAAGGGAAATTGGTGGCACGAAACCCTTGTTCCTCCCCTTCAGTCAGTGACTGGTGCATCTTTCAAGTGCTAAAAGCTGACCATTTCTTGATTATTTTCAACTTTAATTCCGAAATACCTGATGAAAAGAAGTGCTCATTCGTTTTGTGGGCTGCAAACGGGAAGATTTCCCGGTGTAGACGCATATTTACGCAAATTACGTATATATGCGAATGCAATGACCCCTCCAGTTTTTGAAACTAGTTTTGAACTAGTTGAATCTTTTTTTTTTGTAGTTTCTGAAATGAAAAAAGTGTGCTTACAATCGCATAAATACATGTGCGGTAATCAAATCAAAGCCAGGCTACGAAAGTTCCCGTGATATCGACAACGAGCGACATCTGTGTCATAGAATGTGGATTATTGGATGAGTGATATTCAGGGTTGTAAAAGTACGAAATTTTTTTAATCTTAGCTTAGTCCATCTGCCCCTTTTTTAGAGGTTGAATAGTTGGGTCGGTTTTTTTATTAAGTATACATACACTGTATCTGTCCTTCAAACATTCATTTTATGAAGTAATTTCCCTTCATGACTGTTGGTGTCTGCGAAACCGTTTCTATGATAATTCTTGCTACTGTTTGCCAATTGAAAATATTTGAACCATTCCTTGTCATTTAGATTAGAATAGAAAATGTTCGGATACACCTACCTGACGATCGGCCTCCATCGTCGATTACTTCGCCTGCTGTTATGCCGCTGCTCTTCCATGTGCCGTTCATGACCATTATCCGTGATTGTGCCGGTGTTTTCCATTTTCTGTACTGCGAGGATTGCGGAGGTGAGGGATAATTCACTAAATCATTGCGGGAAATTGGTTCATTCGGACTGTATCGTATCTCTGTATTTTTTTAGTGGAAAAAGAACGCAGGATTAGACGAACCTCAGCTGTACAAACTTCACCGATTCCTCCGGAAGCCTCATTTTTTTCTAGATCGAATCATTTTTCTTTCTCTCTCCCTTCGGCGAGCAGTCCGGTCCATCGCCGTGTTAGCCACTTAGAGAAAGAGAACGAACGGTTACGTAGAGAAACACATTCTATGAGGGAAATGGAGCAACGTGTCCGACAACTGCAGAATGCACTGCAAACTTCTGAAGACGAAAAACAGGCACTTGTGTCAACTATGCGTTGCCTGCAGGAGTACATTTGGAAGCTGGAATCCGAACGACGCGGTGAATCGATACATTCAAATCCCGGAACATAGCGGTAAACTGAGGATTTTTATTTCATAAGCCGTCGTCCAATTGTTTGAATGCTTAACGCAGGTAATCGTGCAGTTCGAAGCTTTATGCGACAGTTGAGAGTTCCACTTGGTATTATTGTGTTCTCTTTGTCCATCCAAACTCAATTTCGTGCGCACGTGCTTTAGCAACATATCAACGAAACATTAGCCAGATTTTTCGGTGTTCTTAGGAAGTTTTTTTCAATTTCATCGCTGTTGAGTGCAAATTAGAATCAGCTTTCTAACATCAGTTCACTGCGAAGGCCTGGGAGGTTTCCAGGACTTGAATATCGCGATTATAAACTTGATCTGCGTAACTAATGCATTTTTCCGGTGAGTTTGGACAGATGAGTTGATATTCTTCTGAAATACAGAAGGACTCGAGATCGAAAAGGATTGTAACCTTGGATTTCGAGAAAAAATCAGTCATGTTTGAACTATCTGACGTAAATGTGATGAAAGAATTTTTTAATTTCCGGAAAAGAATATTTTATCCTTTTTTTGCGGAGTTATCGTGTTCGCCAATTCAGACGGGAATTTACCTCGTTCTCCCCGCTGATGTTTTCTTCGTGATTCAGTTTCACCGATATCTTTATTTCAACGGAAGAAAATTTATGGAAAAGGGTAATACGGTATTTTCTTGCGTTAATTTCCGGAAATCACGAACTTTTTGATTGCATTATGTGATTTTTAAGTGAAAGGCGGAGAGAATTGAATTGTCTACCTATTTCGATTCAGGCAGGCGACATCGTGTCGCTTCTCAAAAAAAGGAAATTCGTCTGATCGGTAAAAGACTTGATTCATTGCAGCAATCTGAGATTGTGCAATTTTTTTTTTTGGCATTCCGAAAATGTTGGGTTGTTCTTGATCTTGAGCGAATGCATCGAAAGCGTTCTACTTTAACCATCTGTGGACGAACACTGGTCTAATCGGAGTTCACAGTATTATAATTTTCAGGGAACGAGGATTTTGTCTAATGTATTCGGATTACTGTACCGCATTGTGATCACATCGCGAAAGAAACCAAGTTTGCAATTGTGAGTGTTGTGCAGTATCATGGAATGGATTCCAGTCTTATCAAAGGCGAGGATTTTTATTGTTCTTGCAGTCATGCCCATGGTTTCTCTCTTTCCGAATAGTCGAGCTCGAGAGATGCGATGCCTTTTGATTTGATGCTAAGACTGCTTTTGAACCTGTGCACAAAGTGTTATACTTTGAGTAATCCGGCCTGTGTTGTTCCTGTGCTTTGCTACATTTCGTTGCTCGCAAAGTTTCCAAATTCTTTCATCAGAGTTTTGGGTGGGAGATGCATATTTGGCCCTTTATTTTCCCTTTGTTGGCCCTTTAATTTTTGTACGTTTGTCATTCGGCTGTTCAGCAGGTTTCTGCATCTGAAGCACTTTCTATCGAAGTGCTGTTCTTTGTTGAGAAGACGAACATTTCTTAATTGCGAGGTATTGTGAAAAAAAACTATGCTTTTTTATGCCTGTCCGTTTCTTGAATCAATCTGGAATCCGGTTTAGACGTTCGGTGAATTATTCTCCTTGTGAATTTTATTTGATTACTTTTCTCCAGGTGATAGTGTGTGCTCGACATGAGCGTGTGTCGGTTCGTATGAGTGCTGTAGTTATTTCAGCTGGGTTGGCGCTATGGTGGAAAGAGGTACGTTCATGGTGAATTAATTCTTCGGTCGGTCTTCGTCGCTTCGCCTGTCGCTCAGCAAAGTTATGAATACTTCCAGTGTTATTTTGTTTTTAGGGTACAGTATTTCACATCGCGGTTTTTTTTTATCAAGTCTTGTGGTGCGTCTTTTTAATACCTCTATTTTAGAATACTTCAGCGTATCAATAAATTTATTTTCCTTGAGCGTGTTGGGTTGACTCTAAATCATCGAGATCTTTCCGCCGTAAAGGGCTTCAAAAGTGTAATTCAACGTGGATATTATTTGACTGTTGTTGCCGGGTGTAACCTTGAAATTCATTCAACTTTTGATCTAGTGCCACCGTCATTTATGCGAAAAATTTCCCCTGAAAAAATATTGATAGATTATGTTGATGCAGTACCTTCGCTTAGACGCTAAACCCTAGATTCATTTACAAGAAATGATCATGGGCGAATGGTGGCATTGAATTAAGGGTTGACAGAGACGTGTAGTGGTGGTGTATTACTAATCAATTAATGTATACAGGATTGCTGTCCACCTGCCAATAGAGGGCTTGTAAAGCCTAATTTACCACCAATTAAATTTTCGTGGATTTTTTTCGGATGTGACCTTTAACTACTCGGTGGCGTACTGCGCAGAGTTATGATTACGAACGAATTTTGATTTTCTAGATGTGGAAGATAAAAAAAAGAGAAATTTTCGTTGTCAGGCGTTCGACAAAAATGTACTCCCGTTGCTTCGCCAAACAAATTCTGGGGAATTGAAACCGAGATTTGCCTTTTATTCTCGCCGTATTCTCGTGAACGATTTCATCGTCAAATTGTTACTTTCGGTTTTGGTTATTAACTGGTTATTATTTGTTCGTTTGGATTCTTCGAAAAAAGAAAAAAAAAACTTCGGAGGTTTCTGTGAAGCTTACGTGTGAGACACCTGAAGTAACGAGTTGAAATGTATGCCAGCAATTGTAGGTCAACGCCCGGAGCATCAGCATAATTAATGCAAGCAAGTGTGGGTCAGCATCCTGAGGTTGAAGCATCAACGGACTCATGAAGAATAACCTCAGAAATCCTGTTTGTTTTGATCATTTGCATTTTTTCGGCATGTTTATCAAACATTTGATTTGTATTTTAACCTACCGGTAATTTATTTGAGCCGTATTTCCATGTACGGTACATTATTTCCGCGAATTAATTTGTCTCAGTGGATTTGATAATGCACAATTTTTACTTATTTTTCAAGCCCGCGGACTTCCGAAATTTGAAGGAAATCAAACGCGCCGCTCGTTCACTGGTTGCCAAGAACTCACGATTTTTAAAAGACGAGCCAAGCGACATTTGGGATAAGAGCTTATCAGAACGGATGCCATGTGAATACCTTGTGTCTCATCGCCGAGTGCGTCAGAAGCAAGTGGAACCAGATTGTGCGTGCGAGTCCTACAGCTCTTCTGGTAGCATTTACAAGGTGATTACAAAATATTAATTTCTGCGATCTGTGAAGAACGGTTAATGCTCGAGTTAAGAATCTGTGAAATAATGGTGGTGGTTTTTTCGTGTGTGTAAAGAGCGGAATTTTCCTCGCTTTTCCGTGGAAGTTCATTGATGTCAATGAACGAAATTCAAGTTGAAACGTGACGAGGCATATTTCTCACTTTACTTCCTGGTTTAATTCGGAAGAAGTGTAGTCTGTCGTCACACTGATTCGTGTCCGGTTTGCTTTATTTCTATATGGGGAAATATTATTCCAGGAAAGGCAATCTCAATTTGAGACGTTTTTTTTTCAGTTTCCTTCTAAGCCTTTCAAATAGGTCAGAGTAGCTTTCATAAGCAACATTCCATGACTCGGCAGTGATGCTTGACGCACGGGAAGTTTGAAAAGTGGGGAATTTCATCGTGAGCCTGTCCGGGATTTTTTTCATGAATGTAAGGGTGACGATGTCAACGCTCGAAGATTCGTCATTCATCCGTTGTTATATATTCGTCATGCATATATCATTGAAGTTTGGAGTATGTAGTGGCGTTGCACTTCGCTTGATCATTCTTCAAAAATCTGAATGAAATATTTTTGTTGCTATATTTTTAAAAACATTTCCATGTTTGTCTGAGTGTATTTTCCCCTCTCTTTCCCTGTTTGTTTAGTCCACGAGGCGAGTGAGGCTTATCTACAGGAAATTGTGCTGACGTGAATTGAACTGATGCTGCTTGTCATACAGTGTGTGAGTATCCCTTTTTGCCCTTGTGGAAAACTTGGAATTCAGACCAGTACGTCAGGTACAACTTGCGATTTGTATCTCATTTTACGAAAAGCATAAAATGAAATATTCCTTTAGAAACGCAGTTGGAAACTTCTGCTTATACGGTACAGGTGAACCTGCAACAAAATTCAGGATACTAGAAAAAAATTCATTGTGGAGAACCCTTATGAGACCCCAAAAAAAGAAGAAAAAAACGGTTCGTTGCACGAAGAAAATCACTATAGGGATTGTACCTGTATTAGAAGCTGAATGTAATTTGTATTTTAATATTACAACGAAGCGAGGACACTTCTTCGAAAATACAGTTTGGTCGCCAAGCAACGAGCCCTGCAAAGTTTATTACGGAGAGCTAAACGCATGCCACTGGAAGGCAATGTAATTTTGTTCTTAGCGTAAAAGGCGAGAAGGGGATTTTTGGTCTTTCTTTGTCGGACTCCGGGCTCTTGCATGGAAAAATCTCCCTTTCACATGAATTTAATTCTTAAAAAAAACTCCTTTTATTTTTAGATTTAGGCTTATATATTTATGTTTGCATATAAGTGCACGAATCAGCATTTACTTCACTTTGTTGCGGTTTAAAATCCTTGATTTTCTTTTTGAAGAATTATACAATAGTATTTTTTTCTTCCTTTTTTATCTAGGAGACTTAATACGTGTTGGAACCAATTTATTTGAAGTACCGCTCGCGAGGAGCGAGGCAGTCTTGCCGGAAGATTAGCATCCATATTTGTCAGTATTTGTCTTCCACCGGAGAAGAAAAGGAACTTCCGTCTTTTTCCTGAAATCGAATCATGGCCGCAGCAATGGTCTCCATGCGGGATATGAGTGAAGGCGATACGGGTCTCGCTGGCATTTCGCAAATTGCGTCTTTCTACCGCAATCGCTCCGTACTCATCACCGGTGCTACTGGCTTTATGGGTAAAGTTCTGGTGGAAAAGCTGCTTCGATCGTGCCCCGATATTGGCAAAATTTACTTGCTAATGCGACCGAAGCGAGGTCAAGAGCCGTATGACAGGGTGAAGGAATTGCTTAGTGCGAAGGTAAGTGCGCGTTTTATTCGGAATTAACGTTGCTACTCTGTCGTCTGAAAGTTATTTTGCACTGCACTGTACTGTATTGTGAGGATTTTTTTTTTCGATTTGTAATGTTCCTACTCCGTCCATTGTGGAAAAAATTTTGTGGGTAACCGTTTCAGTATGACACCGACAGTCATGATTTGCGTTTTCTTCGACTTTTTCTATTTTAATTTGCCTCTGAAATTTTTCAGAGCACACGTGATTAAAGATTTATTGGTTTTCGAGTGATATGTATAATAATATTGAGGAGGATTTTCCTGCTTCATGGAAAATCTCATTGAGATTTTTCTACCTCGAACGATTTTTTATGAACCTGCTGTAATCACTTACCTCAAAATTTTCCTGTACTTCTGCTAGCCGTTCGTCCAATTTTTCTCCTGGTCAGCCATAATTCAATCAGCATGGAATTTAAGCATAAAATTCTTCATTTTTAAAAATGAGAGGCGATCAGTTCGTGTTTCATATACTGTACCATCATATCTTCCCCAGTTGTTCGAGAAACTACAAGCAGAAAACCCGAGGAGTTTCGATAAATTGATCGCGGTGAAAGCTGATGTCATGGAGCCTGGTTTGGGTCTGTCTCAAGAGGATGAAACAGAGCTCGTACAGAATGTTTCTGTCGTCTTTCATGCTGCTGCCACGGTGAAATTTGACGAAGCTCTCAAGGTTTCGATCAACATGAATGTCCAGGGAACCAAACGCATCATCGATTTGTGCCATAAAATGGATCGTCTCGCTGTAAGTTTCTGTCTTTTCATTCAAATATTCCTGTATTTTGCCGAGAGCAGCAGTTGCAAATATGGTTTGTGGCCTGTCCTCGCCCAAAAAGGCTGAAAGTAGATCTGTTGTTTCGCAGTGATTTACTATCATTTCAGGCTCTTGTGCATGTATCAACTGCCTACTGCAACTGCGATCGCGAGGAAATTTCCGAGATTGTTTATCCTCCTCCGCATGATCCCGAGCAAATAATTGGAGCTATGACTTGGATGGACGACGAAATGGTTCAAGAAATCACAGCTCGGTATGAATTTTTTCATCTCTGTTATCAAATTGTACAGCATTCTGATTCACAATGCATTCGTCCATTCAGATTAATTGGTAATCGTCCGAATACGTACACGTACACCAAAGCATTGGCCGAAGCTGTGTTGGTTAGGGAAGCCGCAGACTTGCCGGTAGCAATTGTGAGGCCTTCCATTGTGGCAGCTGCCTGGAAAGAGCCGATTCCTGGTTGGATAGATAATTTTAATGGAGCCACAGGTCTTTTTGTTGGGGTTGGAAAGGGTCTCGTGAGGTCGATTCTTTGCCATCGTGAAAAGAAAGCTGACTTGATTCCTGTTGACATTCCTATTAATTTGATGATTGCCGTTGGATGGTACACTGCGCTCAAAAGGTGATGTTCGTTTCTTCTCCATTTTTTCAGTCGCTTGGGAGATATATTGTACGTCATACCTCGTATCTAGATCATAACTGGTGCGCCTACCCCTAGTGTTCTGTTTAATTACAAAATATTAATTCTTCGAAATAAATTCAGGCTCGTCCATCCACACTTCTAGTCCAACTCAAGTACAGTACTCGAATGATGGAGGTACCAAGGAAGTAAATTTTGAAACCAGGAAAAATACTGCGAAGCTGGTATAATGCGCATAGAAACAAATACTGTAGACGAGTGTCTAAAAGGTCTTGGACGAAAATGTATTATTTTGGAGCATGCACATCATCAGAAAATTTACGATAAAACTGGTATGAAACACGGAAAAGCAAGTTCGGGAGATTCAGTTCAGGTTGAATTCAGTTATGTTATTGATGCTCCTCTTCAAAGGGGAACATTTTTTATATGCTCTACTATTCTAACGATGCTGAGCTTTGTTCGTGTTTTGTATGACCGATTCGACATTAGAGTGATTACGTTTGAATGCTGACTGTAGAGAGTGCTACCGAAATATTTACGCCGTGTTATTTTTTTGCAGTCCAAACCGGATGCTGGTGTACAATTGCACTTCAGGTCAGATAAACCCCATCAGATGGGGAGAAATCGAAGCCTGGGGTCACGACGCGACCCAGCGCAACCCATTCAACGACGTGATGTGGTACCCGAGTGGGTCCTTCCGGAAGTCGCGAATCGCCCATTTCATCGCTTGTACTCTCTTGCACTCCTTGCCGGCTTATTTGATGGACGTTGTGTCGCGGATCTCCCGGCAAAAGCCAGTCATGGTTCGGCTGTGTACCAAGTTCTCGAGAGCGCTCAAGACGCTCGAATACTTTTCTTGTGGAGAATGGGATTTCCGGACTGAAAATGTGCCCATGTTATTGGGCGAGCTGAGCTCCGTGGACAGGAAACTTTTTGATTTCGATTTGAGGCCCTTACAGTGGAGTTCTTACATCACTTTATACTTTCTGGGAGCAAGAGCGTATGCTCTCAAAGAAAATCCAGCGGATATGCCCAAAGCCAAGAGACGGATGACGAGGTAATTTCAAATCTTGCTGACGCTTCGTCACGCGAATCAAAAGCGAATTCTTCATTCCACAGGTTGAATCAAGAAAAAATACCGGTAGATCTATTTTTGAACGGTGAACAAAGTACCTTATTTCAAACAAGTAGAGACAAATCACCTTCCAGTCAACTCTTAATTTTCACTTAAGCCTCATAAGTACTTGAGATAAATACAGTAACAGAATGAATCTAAGTGTTGTATGCTTTCTCACCGTGTTAAAAACTGATCTTCGTGAATATAACGTACCTGCTGTTCATCCATAGCTCGCAATTTTTGCACAACACATGTGATGGGATGAAGATAGAATTTTGTCTCAATATCAAAATGGAACTTGATGAATTTATTCGGTGCTCAGCTATTATCCAAGAGTGACGAAGTTCAGTTTTCTCTTTTGATGCTTTCTATTCGTTTTATATTGTAGATAAGTTATACTGATTTGTTGAAAGCAAATATCTGTCTTCTCAATGAACCCAAAAAAGCGTTCCTTCTTAGCATTTGCATACAATATTTGTAGCAATTTTTATCGTAATTGTTGTACGTGATATTTGTTTACTCATGTAACTCGAACCTTGATGCATGCTTCTCTTTTCAGGATGTACTGGATCCACGTTATGTCTCACGCAATAGGAATTTTTGCTGTGCTGCGAATTTTCGTGGGGAAATCGGAAAAAATGAGGCACTTATGGTACTACTTCATTTCTCACTTGATGCTGCTTAGAAATATGTTGTCGAAGGCATTGACGAGTGCGTGAGGGCACGCCAGCATTTGGCTTCTCTGTCTTCCAACCTCGTCTCGCCGCACATTTGTGTGTGTCTGTCTCCGCCATTCCTGTTCAGCGGTCACCATTTTGATTGTTCAGCCGTATACGTATTTATTTAATGCGGTGCGTTGCCTTTCGTCCAGTTGGGTTGAAAGAGGAATGCATCGAACATTCGTAGGCGGCGGCATATTGCCAGGTTTATCATTAATTGAATGAGAATTTTGCTGGTCTAAAATCTCACCGAATTTGTGCGCGGGTTCTGCGTATTAGGACTTATCGGCACATGGAATTTATTGTGAAAGTCCTTGCAGGGAAAAGTTCAAATTCTAACCTCGGAAATATTGACGGCGCTGAGTAACTCATTGACGTACGGCTCGACGGCCTTTTTGTCGGGTAACTAGGAGAGGGGAGGGGGAAAACCCTGTTTTCTGTTTTGTTATTTTAGGACCATGTGATTGGTTGTTGTTCAGCCGAAGTAATTCTTCCATGGTATGTTTGCAATTTCGTCTAAACGCGTGTTTTTGGGGAAGAAGTGAGAGATCACTTCCAAGTCATGAATCATAGGTGACCTTTGAACTGTAGGAATCCGTTGGGAAACGTCTTCAGGAAGTGATGAGGCTTTTCTTGTTTGATATTTTCCCCGCCGTTGTTGACCCTTGATCATCCCTGTGATATCTTATAGTTGTACTGCTCACCATTGAGAATTTTATCTGTAGGTCACGTCTCCGAGTTTGGTCTCCAGGGAGCGATTTCGTGTGCTCTTGTGGAAATGCTCCATCGATTGTCTGATAAGCGTATTTGATTTGTTTCTTATTGAAACGCGTCCTAGCTCCATCCAGTGCTAAGTTTCTGCAGTAAAAAGTTGGAAATACTACTACTGACGTTTTTTATTTCCGCTCAAGACGCCAATTTCGTTTTTAATATTCTCATCGAGACAAAGCAGTTTCAAGCTTCTTTAGGATGACTTCTCGATTTTTTCTTGCATTTCATGTAGCGTATGTCACAATTACAAATTGTTACATGCTGCAAGGAAGTGGTGAAAAAACTCACAGTTGTGTTTTATAATGAAGTACCGTAATGACATTTGAAACATGTTTTCAATAGTAGTTTGAGAAAAATTGTATTTGATCTGGATAATGTCAGCGAAAGAGAGTATTGAGGTTGCAAACAATCCAGGAAATTTGAAAGATTCTGATGAACGACACGAGAAAACTCCTTCGATGAAAATTGAATTGGCTTCAGCCAACATGTATGAACTTGTTCTGAGTTTATTCTAGGAATTCTTGTAGCCTATAAACATGGGGTAATTCTTCCAATTTTGTTCCGTGACAGCACTACAAGACTAAACTACTGTACAGTACTGCACTGTAATAATGAACAGCAAGGAGGCAGTTTCAGGAGAACTATACTTCCACATTATAGAAATATGATCGCATGTACGTTTTATGGTTATACGATTATGCTGTAATGTTTTTATTATTGAATTTTTGCTGTAGGTGGTTTCTATACTGTCAATACATTTTCTTTTATTGTTATCTTAATATATGCTTCCAGGATGATCTGGAATCCTCCATAATCGTCGATCTCCGAGCGAATTATTCTCTCGCCGCATTATTTTCTCCTCGTCAGCAAAGAGTTTTTAGAACCATCTGACATTTTTATGGTTTCATTCGAAACCATTCAATTGAGAAAAACACATGAGACTGCGTTGATCCGTGCGTAACGCGGATTTTTCAAGTGACGTACTTGACTATATTCTGTAAAAATATTTAATGAATTCGAAAGCCATATTGAACGATGAATTTTATCGTGAACCCTGATTTTATGCCGTGTTCTTGGCTTATGTCACAGATGTGTTTGCTGGTGGCCTAAATGTAACTCGCCGTTGTTACAATTACAAAATAAATTACATGCATGATTGAATTGAATGTCCGATTTACCCAAGCTGTACTACGTGCCCTCAAGCAAGATAAACAGTAGGGTTTTCAGTCTGAACGGGGGGATGGTGCATCCCCCCCGGAGATGATTCACACCCTATTTTTAGTGACTCTAGAACTACTATACGGTATTTCAAAAATATGAACACCCGAATTTCAATTCAGACAGGAATTGAACCTGAATTCTACTAATGGTTTTCATCACGATGAGTTTTCCTTTTTGAAATTGGTCATCAGAATCAAGAGTATATAACGCCGCTACCAAAACTTTTCGAAAAATTTATACCTGCATATATATATGGTGCACACCCCCTTTTTTCCCTCTGTCTTTCGAGGAAAAAGGTGCCAGGGTACTCAAATAATGTATCACGTTGAAAAAAAACCTGATCGAAAAGAATAGCGCTAAAATATGTTGCGCTTGAATAGCCAGCACTCGCCTTTTTTCCTAATGGTGGCTACTTCGATTTTACTCAGCGCTTAGTACGTGTATGTGTAAACTTGTAAAGCACTGTTGATTTGCCGAATTAATTACCGTATTTAAATGTCACCATGGTGGAGTGGGGTGCCTAATTTTGTTTTCCGGACACACGGAGTGAGTGAGTATAATCACCTTTAGTTTTGAAGGCTGCGCGTCCGGGGAAGTCCCGGGCTCTGCAAGGTTCCCCAGCACACATCGTGGTGCCTCGGGGGCATACCGGATTTCCCATCCTCGAACCACCGGGTTTTCCCGAGCGGCATATACTGTACAGCAGTCAGCAGCCTTCCTCCCCAACCGCAACAAAGGACCATGAGAGTGATCGTGTTTTCAATCTTTTTTTTTTTTTTGCTCCCATGCACGCATCACTTGAGGTGTTTCTTTGCTGGGCAAGTCGCAAGGTCATGGGTAATGATTGGGATGTCGATGAAGCAGGGTTTGTTCCGTTTTGAGCAAACTTGGGTTTGCCAATGAATCTCCGGGATGATGTCCCGTTATAATTGAGAGTAAGCGTATTGTGCTTGTAGAAGGGGACATGGTTGGGTATTATGCCGTGTGTGGACGTCGAGTGGTGCAACCGAGTTACCGAGACGAGGGAATACCAATGCCTCACGCGCTCAACATCTGAACATACGAGGATTGGCTCCTAAGTTATTATATGAGACTTTCTGAAAAAGATCCAACGGAGTTTCAAAAGCTCTAGAAAAAAATTTCCACGCTTGTAGCCGTGAAAATAGCCCCATCATTTATCGGCAACTCTCTTCCGTAATGTTCAACGTATTGTCCGCCGATTTCAATGCACTTTTTTTCATACGATAAATCCAACTATCAAAACAGTGCCCAAAATCGAGTTCCGTTATTTGATTATAGGCGCCATATGACTTCTGATGACTGTCCCCGACAAGGAAAAAGAACGACCAATTGAAAGGGATTAATGTTGAGGACAGAAAGCAGCCTCATTTCTGCTGTCGAAGAGCAGCTTACTCAAATAGCAGAACTCGATTTTTGGCATTATTTTGTTTTCTCGGAATTATTGCATGAAAAAATCCATTAAAATTTGCGGACAGTACTGAAGTGTTGCCAAATGAAGGGGCTATGCGAGTAAAGTTTTTTTTTTTTTTTGGATTGTCTGAACTCTGTTGGATATATTTCAGAAAGTCTCGAAACTTATGAACCAACCCTCATATGCAAAATATAAATTTTTAAATATGTGAGAAATTACAGGTAGAATGAACAATATACTGTAGACGATAATTACAACAATCAGACTTCTTCAAGTCTAACCTCTTTAACTCGAATGTTTTTCTGGTTCCTGTCAAAAGTCCCTTTGAAGCAATCTACTTGAACCTTTGCAACTTGAAATGCTTCACTGTGAACCTCACCAGCTCAAAATTTTTGAAGGCAAGGAAGAGAAGAAATTTAAAATGATAACGTTTTTCGGAGGGAAAATGAGCAAATTTAATTTGTTAATAAAATCCTGGCTTGAGGTTATTCTGTATTCTGTAGACTCCTTTATATTGCAGTGTCCTGTGGTTGGCGTTTTCTGTACTGCTGTTAATTAAGGACGTTTTTTTTAGACACACTACATACAGCAGTAAACATTTCAGAAAAAATTAATTATTCCAAATTTTACAGGAATCATTTTCAAACTTAGTTTCCCTGAATTGAAAGCTTTTTTTTTCTTTGGTCCAGATTCGACTTATATAGAGAGGTTCGGCTGTGGAATGCTTCGCTTGCGAAACGCGGAGATGCAATTTTTCACATGTGTTGCGCATCATTATTAGTAATGCATGTGTCCTTCACCAATGATGCAGTGTCTCTGATGCTGACCTAAACCAGCTGTTTCTTGCACATGCGGATTTCCGCTCAAGGTCACACTGCTGCTGAGCGATGGTGAACGATTACCGATTTTTTACACAATGTCTTCTTGAATTCGGGGTCGATGTGGTGGCGAAATTTGGACAAGCTTTAATTTGTATTTGAACAAGAAAAGAAATCCTTTCAAGTTTAAGAATGTAAAACATGTCTGATCAAGGCCACGTTATATATTGTCTGATGCGGTCCTTAAAATCAGTTATTTAATTTGCTTCGTCTATTTTTAGAATGTCCAGTATCTCTTCGTCATACTGCTCTGATTTGACGAAAAGACTTTTATATGCTCCTTGATTTTCTTAATGTAAATGCATCCTTGTGAGTTGTTCAGTGTTATCTTATCAAGAAGAAGGTGTTCAGTACATGCTGCATGCATGATCGGATATATTGGATTCTGATAATAAGTTAATATCAAAGCGGTATACTTATTTGAAAAGAAAGAACTTGTTAAATATTCATTCCTCGTATTTTCAAAATTTTACTAAAATTTGAAATGTCCGGTCGTAGTTTTTTATTTTAGTTTTATTACGAAGATCATCTCAGCAGGAATAATCTTATTAACAACTGCGGCACAGGAAAGAAAACATACTCTCATGGTCAACCACTGTACTGTCTGGGTTGATATGAGGTTTTATGACATATACAAGACAAGGTGTGTCCCACTGCCGCGAGTCCTTAGAATTTCTGAAGTTATTGTAAAAAATGAACAACAATTACCCTCATGATCTGGCCCAAAACATTTTTTTACAAATTTTGCAGCATTATTGAAATCAATCTGCAGGCCACTAAAAACTAATTTTAATGCACAGAAATTATCCTTGATGAGGAACTGTGAGACAAATGAGAAAATTGTAAATGAACACATTTTCATCGAGGACCCCCACTGTTGATGCTGATGGTCGAATGACCCTGGAAGAAATGCAGGCAACCCTTGGAATTAATGCCATGTCCATTTCAAGGGTTTTGAAGGAGAAGCTGGGCTACACAAAAAAATCTGCCAGATGGGTGCCGCATCTTTTGAGTGAAGATCAGAAAATTGCCAGAGTGAAATTTGCGAAATTTTTCCTTCAAAAATTCAAAAATGGGAAGTCTTGAAATTTTGAATTGATTGTAACTGGAGATGAGACCTGGTTTTACAACTGTGATCCAGAAACAAAGCGCCAGTCCATGGTGTGGTCTGTAAAAGGGGCGCTGCTGTGCGGAATTTTTCTTGAGAACAGAAGAAGGTTAGAAATCAACGCATTTTTTAATTAACGCGCCTTGGGGCGCGTCTTCAGCTAAAAGAAATCAACCCTTCAACAGGGCATCAAAATTAAATTAAAACACAACAACTCGGCAGAAACTGCCAATGGTAAAATACAAACCCATCTTTGGGTAATTAACTCTTGTCTAGGGTCGAACAACCCCCGATTTTTTCTCACTCCTGAAAAGGATCAAATATCAAAAGGGGAAGACGAGACTGTCCCAGCTGTTGGTTGTTCGGCACACCCGGTCCATCGTGTCGTCTTGGAGATTTAGAAAGGTTTTACAATCTAAAAAACATGTACCTTCACTACTTAAACCATTTATCCCTGTCTCCCTAAACATGCG